TACAAAGCTGATTATTTTCAACCGACTTCAAAAAGGAGGAGGTTCTCAATTCGACTGTATTTTTTTGTTTTTTTTTTTATTTGTTTGTTACCTCAGAACTCCGTCATTTATGAACCGATTTGGACAATTTTTGTGTTGTTTGAAAGTGTACACTTCCAGATTGGTCCCATTTAAATTTCAAAAAAAAAATACCACTCCTAAGGGTGGAAAAATAGCTAATGATGAATTTAACCTACTTCTAATTGTCATATTGACTTGAAACTTTGCATGTGTTTCTATTTCCGTTGATAGTACAGTGGTTCGGTGTTGTTGACCTGATCTGATGGCAAGGCTAGAAGTTGGATAGGTGGAACTCTTCAACGGCTAATAGTAGATACTTTGAGTTTGGGCTTATTTTGTTCGATTTGACAAGCTTAACACGTTAGAATGCCTACTTTGCTACTACTGTCTACACTAAAAAGGGAAAAATAAAAACTTTTTAACAAAAAAATAAAAACCGACTTCAAACAAAAGCACTAAAAAGTAAAAAATAACTGAATGGTAGTTTTCATTTACTATACATACCTAATCAAATATTTTCGAAGTCGGTGTGCTTTGGCTAAGTAATCAAAGCCTACCTATTAAATACATACCTAAACCAAATATTTTCGAAATCGGTGCCAGCCCATACAAAGCAAATGAAAATGAGATTCAAATAGATATTTAAAATATTTTAAGCATTTCAACTGCAGGTATGAAGTATAGCATATAATACAACTTTAAAAATTTAATTAAAAATTCCATTAATAACACAAAATATCATTACGCAATATAAAGCAAAATTGATTAAGTAAATAACTAACCATATTATATAGTAGCAAATCCCTAGATATATATTCCTTAGATTTCTCAAAGATATTTTTCCGCAATAAAAAGTATTCGATATGTTGGCCCGGATAACCAGCTATCACCATACCAAATTTCATCAAAATCCGTCCAGTAGTTTTCCCGTGATGCATTCCTAGACAGACAAATATTTTAAAAACTATAGGTTCGGCCTCTGTATCGATAATAATGACTATTTCAATAAGATTTTCAAAAAAATATTTAATGTACAGATTTGACTCAGAAATTTATTATATGTATGTGCTTCAAACATAGTTTTTATACGTATATACTTTTCCAGGGGTAAAAAGCATTAGATATTTTTGTATATTTTCATTCTTGAATAGCTAGCTATTTTTTAACGCGACACACCTTTTTTGAAAGTGGCCTTAATTATACAAATAGGGGGGACGAATTTTTAAAGGGAGGACAAATAAATAAAATACACGCTAAAAGTTTATTAAATATTCTATTTACACCTAATGGAAAGACGTAATGGTAAAAAAAAAATATTCTATTTTTTTTATTAATATTACTTTAATTGTCTAAAATATAGTAAAAAATGTAACTTTTACTTGTAGTCATGTGCTTTAGAATCGGAACAGAGACAAGAAAGGAAGAGATTTGATCGAGTATTGACAGAAAACGTGATCGCCGGTCATCCGGTCACTCACCGCAGTGACGGCAGACGTACGTAACAATGATCCTGGATCATTCCAGAATTTATTCTAAAGAAGACATACACAAGCCGCCAAAAGTATAATAATATTTTATAAGTATAGAACTTTCTTTTTTTTCCTAGATTTACGAAGTGTATTCGGATTTTTTCGCGAATTTATTTTGAATTGTTGTTACTGTCTGTCACAAGTATATAATGACCTTTCTAAACCCTTGGTCTTTCCCAGAATCATGATTGCTGTAAAGTATTCCAAACGGCGGAACCCGTATATCAAAATAAATCTCGTGGATTAGGTAAAGAGAGGTAGTAGAAAAAGAGGTAAAAATAATGAAAAAATGACGTTGTTGTTATTAGTTCAGTTATAGTTCTATAATACCTAGTTGTTCTTATAAATAAAAATGAATTGCTAAATGTGTTTCTAAGCGTAAAACTCGAGAACGGCTGAACCTATATGGCTAATTCTCTTTTTGTTATGTTTGTAATTGTCAGGACAAGGTTTATGAGAAAGATTTTTTGAATATCTACTGTAAAAGTCTGAAATTATGTTAGTATTTATGTATGAAAATCCATGCATGCAATGCATGTTTTCATAGCAACAAAAAACATCTAATTACCTATAGATAATTTTATGTATAGATGTTCTTTGTTTCGTAAAATAATTCTTCTGCGAATGAAAAGACCACCTACCAATACATATAAAGTGATGAAAAAATAAAATCTGTACATGAAACTTTTTATATATAGGGTCTTTATTATAACGTACCTAGAGATCCGAGCGAAACGAGGGTGAGTCCCTCCCTAGTTCTAAATAAAAGTAGTATAATAACGAATTTTCAAATTTACCAATATTTTTAAAACTATTTATACTTTTACTTTTTATACTACTTTTTTAACTATTTATACTACTCTGACTCATAACTTTTGTATATAATAAACCATTGTCAAAACGTATCTTGCGATAACCCTTTTCAGGATCAACGAGAATTCTCAATGCGATGCTAATATGTAATCATTATGTAATAATCTTTTCCAAATATAGAGAAAAGCATGAAGTTTCCCGTATGTAGTACTAAACGAAACTTAGCGTACATTAACACCAAAGGTTCTTGGCACCGGTCAACAACATAATATACCTACATATACGCTTTAATGATCAAGTTATTTTTTTTTACATTGTAAAGACTTGATTCATCACCTCCCGAATCAAAATCAAATTTTATTTAATTAAATTAGATTTTTTCGCACTTATTGCAAAATGTATTGACTCTCTTCAAAAAAGTAGATTTTTTATCAGTTAGTATTAAGTGCATTTCATAATAATTTCATTCTCAATTTATATATACGTACATTCAGGACTATAAAAGTACTTAATATTATAAGATTTGAAAACGCGTTGGAATGCACGAAAAGCGTCTGATAATAGCGATATGCATGCGGCGCCTCAAGCCCTTCTCTAGCTATAGTTCCGCAGCCAAGGTCATGTTCTTGAAATCGTTTATATCAAAATACCTACGTCAGTATATTTTATTAAACATTAAAAAAACAGATACTATAACTGACCGTCTTTAATAAAATTATTATAATACCAATCTTTATTTGGAAACTGGGTAATTTTAAACTTTGAATATATTGATATATATTTTTCTTTTATTCATTCTACGCAAACATGACAAAAAATACCGATTTTCATGGTCAACGGTTCCGAAATTAACAGTTAAACTTACAGTTTTATAACTGTAAGTTTAACTGTTAATTTAAACCTTAACCCGTCAACCTTAAAGATGTTTCCCAATTGTCATATTATAAAACTAAGTACGATAGTAGGGTGATCCGAGTCCCCCACACGATCCATCGATTACATATTATCTAGAAACCTTCCTTAGCCGTTTGTAAGGATTAGTGTACTAGTTATACCTACTAAGCAAGTAGTTTCACTGTGGATACCATCAATATCTATATACATGTAATAAAATTGTAACTAAACCGAATCTGTACATTAAATATTTTTTGGAAAATCTTATCGAAATAAACATTATTATCGACACAGAGGCCAAATCTATAGTTTTTTTTGAATTTTTGCCTGTCTGTCTGTCTGTTACCGCATCATAGAAAAACCACTAGAGGGATTTTGATGAATTTTGGTATGGTGATAGCTGGTTATCCGGGTCAACATATAGGATACTTTTTACTGCGGGAAATTATTTATTTCCCACAGGAAAACACGTTATAATACAATCCCAAAAAATATTTATGATCAAAATTACTTGAAACTTGGTATTAATGCTCTTGAATAAAATTGAATAAATACGTGTTTTAGCATTTTTTGAAATTTATCCCATAAGGGGGTAAAATATTCATATCCAATTTAATATAGGGGATGGATGTTTGTATGAAACTACCTTATTAGGGATTTTTTGTAATATTAGTGCGAGCGAAGCCGCGGGTTCTGCTAGTCGTCTTTATATCTCGTATTTTGGAAAAGAAACGAGAGCCAATATGATTAAAAAAAACCTAAAGCCCGTATAGAACAAAGAAGCAACATTATATTTTAAGAATTTTAGTTTATCAACTTATTTGCACGTAGGTGCATAATATGAAAACAGATTGCCAGACGCATTTCAAAGGGATTGTCTTCGGTCAGCACTGAAATTTAATTCTCTATTGTTTGGATGACATTTCATCTTAATGCATGCGGTTTACATATAATGTTAGCATTTGCCAAACTTGAATGTTGACATAGAATTACAGCACATGACTCTACTTAAGGAATGGAACACCCACCTTTTATAATCGAGGTAAACACTTAAGCTGTCTAATTTATAAGCATTGTTTGTAATACAAACATCAATGCGTATATATTTGGAATGAACATGGCAAATATTTTTTAATAGTTGGAAACCCCAAATATAAACGTTTGAACTTCTATAATTATAAAAAAATGTTTATTTTTTGTGAAATCATATTTTTAACCGACTTCCAATAACGAGGAGGTCCTCAATTCGTCGGAATCTTTTTTTTATGTATGTTCACCGATTACTCGAAGACGCCTGAACCGATTTGGAAATTTTTTATTTTGTTTGAAAGGGTATACTTCCCAGGTGGTCCCATATAAATTTTATCGAAATCGGTCGAGTGTTTTTAAAAAAAGTCACCAATAAATATATTTTTTAAATAAATTATTTAATCGAATATGTTATTCAAAACTTTCTTCTTACAAATTATGTGCTTATTACGTCTACCCTAAAAATGGAAAAATAAAAACTAAAAAAGAACGACTTCGAAAATATCTGATTAGGTATCTATTCTAAATGAAAACCCCCGTTTAGTTATTTTTTACATTTTAGTGCCTGGAAGTCGGTTTTATTTATTTTTTAAAAGTTTTTTATTAATGTAAATACTCTTCTCTTTTAATGATAATTAATTAAGCGTCAAAACCAAATTAACTAAAGATTTACTAAAAACTTACCTCTGTTTTCCTAGAATGCTTCTGCTTTCTTATAGCCTTGATGTTGTTAGAAAACTGAAAAAGATGATTATATAATGTTACAAAATGCATAAATATCATCTATCTTCGACTATATCGAGAACTTTCATCATACATGTCGAGTTCTCGTAGATTGCACATATGGCCTAACGACATAGATGGCGGCAAAGTATGAAGATGCACTCAGTGCAGGAATTTAGGCCGCACTATTGGAGCTTTTGAAAATGTCAATGTGACATTTTACTTAAAAATCAGGGTAGTCTATGCTAAAGCTATGAGTATATAATATAAAAGTAAAGAGGTGGTTTATTGTCATATATTTGCGTTTTATAGCTTTAAACGTTTGAAGAAAGATTTTAAATTATACTTTAGCAAAACCGCGGGCAAAAACTAGTTAAACATAAAAAATAAGTTTAAAAGAAACTATCGTTTCAGATTTTGTCGTGAATTAATTTTGAGTTTTTATTCCTGGCGTTTCGAATGTTTTACAGGAATTATAGTTACTCGTATAGGGAAAAAAGGAGAGACTTCGTATCAATGGGAGAGACGAAGGTTTTTAACATCTCAAAAGCTATTACATAAAGGTATTCTATCATATAGCCGAAATTAATCCGCGTAAAAATCCAAAAAGATAGTTTTATTCAAAACATAAAATATTCGTGCATATCTTAGAAGGTATTAATTAGTATTTAGTACCTATTAAGAAAATTTAAATTTTATAAAAGTGATAAGGATTAAAAAGTGTTAGGTAAAAGGGATTTTTTTCATTTTTCTTCTATCCAGCCAAGTAATTCACTTAAACTAAAGTAATTCACAATGTGCTTAAGCTTATTCTTACAAAAATCTTTATAAATGTAGAGCACGAAAAGCTTATTTGCAAACCGATAGCGCCATAATAGGGTGTTATGGAAAAATAACGATTTTCATAATACCTAATAAGAATTGCAGTGATGTGAAATCAAAAAAATGGCTCAGAAAAGCCGTGGCTGCTACTATGTAACAAACATACATATTTTGGCAGGTAACGCACATATTGTATCGAATTTGAGATTTATTAGTCTAAATAATAATATCTAATAATAGTTGTACTTAAGTATGTATACAATACATGTCTATAGGTACTGTTAATCATTTTACTTATTAACAAAATCTGTTGGAATCGCTAATAATTATAAAACTTACAGCACATTGAAAACAGCCGAAAATGGATACCGGAGATGTGTTAACACTCGAAGCTGGTGACACAATATTCTCAGCCTCGCCTCTTGTTAATTTGCAGTTCACCGCCTGGTTAAAAAAACAGTTAAAACTATAAAATTTATATTTAAAATTCATTCATAAGACTGATAGAGACTTGATAAATGGATCTACGTAGTAGATAACGGAAACGCCATAATTAGAAGTGTTTTAATTAATAAAAACGCATTGTAATGTTTAATTTAAGTAAGTAAATTAATAACGTCAAATAAACACTACATATACACTGTTACATTTATTTCATATGCTACAGTAAATATCGGAACATGTCAAATAAAAAAAAAAAACCAGAGCACGAAGATATAATCATGATCGAACAGACATAAAAGCTGCTTTAATCTTGATACATCCGTTGATTCCCGTGGGAAATACGTATTACTTAAATACACGACATACGTGTACTAAGAGTGTGGGGTCTGAGCGCAACAAAGGCAGTAGTGAATTTATAAAGTTCTAAAGGAATATAAATAATTTTAAGCGCCTACTTTTAAACCCTAATTATAATATACAAATCATGTTTTATTAAAATATGAAGTTTTCAATTATTTATTATTATGTGGTGGTTTAATTTTGGTGCTGTCGATTGTTCGCAGAATCCAATTGGTATTTGGCCAAATTTTTAATTTAATCTTAACTTTTTTTTTAGTTTCCTATCTAGTACAATCACTCTAGCTAATGAGTGTATTAAGTATTAACTTATTATTAATAGTATTATAATATTAGTGTTAGCTATAAGCTAACGAACAAATGAATCGATGCTTTCTTGGTTTGTAGCAAAAGCACATTAATCAAAAAAATATATTAGGTATAAAAATAAAAAAACCCCACTGCATAAAAGCCAACTAAAAAGATGACTGAATAATACTATGTATATTCCTTCGTCAACTTGTTTTCTTTTTAGCACAAATTGGCGTCTGAAATCCGTTATTTTATTTTTAAATATTTTTATATAGCCTATAAACACTAAAGACTTATGAATCATCAAAATCGATCCACGCGTTTGGTCTCTGGAATGCCATATAGGAATAAACAAACATACACACATACATAGACTGATAAACACATTGCGTCGCGCAGTCGGGTACACAAATACTAGATACACAATCAGCGACAAAAAAAATGTCCATACCTAATGAGCGTTATTCAAACATTTGAGCGCGCTTTTACTTAATTTTGTTTTTGTGAAAACAACTTTAAATTTTGCATTTAATGTTGACAGTTGAATTTACATTGTTGTATATTTATTTTAACTAGAACTAATTACCTAAACACAGTTGGTGACAGTTTTAAGAGAACTTTTACATGGGATTGTGTATCTAGTAGTTTTTTGATCGATGCAAAAACATAAATAATTTCCAAATAAATAAATAGTCTATCTTTATATAGATATATCTTTTTAAAAACTAAGCGTAAAGAAATGCTAGTCTTTGGAGTTTGGAGAATACCTATTTAGTTTGATAAATTTTTATTTAGAATCTATCACTTTTTGAAAACAAATCCAAAGAGTTTTACTTTCAGTCTGAAGAGTAATAAAGCTTTATTTTTAATTTATTCATTAATATTTAGCATTCTTTTCAATATAATACTTATAGCCTAACGTTATTGCATATTGGCACACCCAAGTATGTAAATAACGTCCGAGTCAAAATACGATAATGTAAACATCGACACCCTTGCTCCAACTTTACACTCCGTAATAATAACCTTCAATAAACAAAAGAACAAAGCAGATGTAGCTTCTGAATTATGCGACTGTCATAAACATATCTGTTGGTTCATTTGCCTAACACGTATTTGATTTACATAATTAATTTGACCACTCCTTCCAATAATTATCCAACCAATTGATAAAATAATACTGTCAATATAAACGTATTATTGAATTTTAAAACTTCTCATCCCATCAATTAAAGTGATTTGTAAAATTACAAATACGTCGGCATCCCTAATACAAGTTTGGCGGATGGCCTTTAATTATTTTAATTTACATAACAAGTTGAATGCACCAGTGGAGTGCAGCGCACACCGCTGTGGCCTTGCCGGTGCGCACACGCATGCCGTGCGGCGATAACGTCGCCACTTGCCGCACAATCGTACTCACATTCGCGCTCGTCACGTCGCTGGTATAAACGGCCGAATAACTCTCCGGTGGGAAGTTGAATCGAGGCGGTGGCATCTCTAATCACGATCACAGCACAATTAACAATGTAGCGGGAAGGCGCCTCGCGCTCCAGGAGCCCGGCGGGTCAGAAGGCGGGCCGCCGGCCGCGGGCGCCGCGCGTATTCATTGTTCCTTATTGATCAGCGTTCGGCGCGTAGGGGCTGCAGCGCGCGGGTGCCGCGGCGGGGTCGCGGTCTCACTGACTAGTGACGAGCGGCGAGCCGGCGCTCGCTCGGACGCGGATTATCACACTTTATGGCGATAATGAGCGATGTAAACTTCCCCGTAACTAAAATCGTCGATGTCACTGTGCGCGGACTGGTGTAGGGATTTAATCTTATCGCATCTAGTTAAAATTAGCGGAACGTGTGTTTATTGGCGGTCCAACGTGGCCGGCCACCGCCAGTCTGCTGTCGTTATCGTTTAAGTTGCGGCTACCTACATTACTTACAATAAATAAACAATTGTTATCATGTGTATGGACGTCCGTCCGTTTCCTGAACAATGACTAATTCTAACATCTATTGTGAATTCTACTCATTAAATCATCTATATAAATATACATATTCATTAAGCTGATGTGCCTTTTTGTGTCTTTGAACTATCTTTTAGGTCATGTATTTATTTGCATGAGAATCAAATATAAACAGTCGGTTGAACTGCCATTCTATATCGTTAACCCAATTGAGTCTACGTTAACGAGGATTTCAAAAGGATGTTGATGATTTTTATTTTATAGTGGCTAGTCCAGAACGTACACATATTATAATTATCATTGTTTTATGTTAATTGCAATAAACTATAATTACCAAAAATGCAAAATAGAGAAAAAACTCTAAAAAAATATGTTGAAATATCAGTACATTCATTATTAAACGCCAATTTCATATGTAAGGAATTAATAAAATAATGTAAGGATTTATAATTAATTAAATCTTTACATTATTTTATTAGTTCCTTACATATGAAATTGGTGTTCAATATGGAAAAAGCTAAACGAAAAAAAAAATGAAATTATATATTTAATCAATCAATGTCTATACATAGGGACCATTGTAATCTATTATGCACTCTCGCCATTTTATAGGTAGTTTAGTAGTGTTTGTTGGTTTGTTTCACCGTACCCATTTTTCAAGCTTTTTCACTATTGCAATTGGTTTCAAGTGAATTAAAATTGTTTTATCACTCACACCGAAGCTTGCCACTAACTTATTTATTTATTTATACTTTATTGTACACCACAATCATAAAGTAAATACAAGTAAACACAATATCAAAAAAAGAAACAGGAATAAAAGTGTGCACAAAAGGCGGTCTTATCGCTAATTAGCGATATCTTCCAGACAACCTTTGGGTTAGGAAATATGGAAGACTATACAGGATGGGTGGTGTAAATATTAAATATTATATACAATACATACCACAATACAACCTAATAATTAGAAATACTACATATATATCTATGTATATAATATATATCTATAAATTATACTAATACATATTTAAATTAAAATTAATATAAATATTGTACAATGTCGACTTCTCATTTAGAAAAATGATCTAAAAAATGATTTTTTACAGATTTTTAATGATTTGGAACGTTTTATATGAACGGGCAAACTATTCCAGAGTTTGGTTGCTTGTACAGTAACTTTCACGTGGTTTGTGAAATCCGCTTCCACGATCACTTTTAATTCTTGATTTTCAACTAAGGTCTCCAGCCGTTCATGGGGTTTGTTCTGTAGGTCGCAATTTCTAGAACGAAACGAACGTTGGAGCCAAAAACGTGCTTTCTTTTACAGTAATTTCTCAATACACATCTTAATCCTTTAACCTTCGAGTTGTTTCTGCAGTGCTTGTACCACGGTGGAACTCGTATTCATAAATAACGTGATATTTTAAGTTTTTCATAATCTGAACAGAATGATGTCAAAGAAAATACAAATGGTGCAAAAATAAATGAAATAAAAAAATAAATTCGAAAACACAAGCCTTAATTTTAAGGCTTGTGTTTTGGAATTCCTAACCAAACGCCAGATATTTGAGATCAAAGTGGCCAGTTCGACAAAACGCCGCTGAGGGCATTCATTTTTATAATAAGGACGAATTTTGTACTCCAGTCATGGGTGTTTATATTTATAATATGTATGTATTTAAAGTTGTATATGTGTAGTGTTTCAACTATCCGGTATCCATAACACAAGCCTCGTAGCTTACCATGGAACTATATTAGGCATATTATTATTAAATGTCAAATGACACTGAATGTTTACTCTTTGTGAGGTTTTCATCGCAGATCTTCACTAATAAATTATTCATGATTATTATAAAGATTGTGCCATTCCTGATTAATTAAGTAGTCTGCTCACTACACACAAGGCCGTCTGAAAAAAAAATCTTCGTATTAAAAAGTATGAGACGCTGCCCACTAGACCGTTCCGCCACCGACCGGCTCCGTCGCGTGCCGTGCACGGAGGGTTAACAATTGTTGGAGAGAATATTTTGCCTGACACGCGGCATTGCGGGCTCGGTGCACGCAACACTAAAAACCTTATGTACGGTAACGTATGATACTCTGTTGATACGGTCTAATGGGCATAGTAGCCCGTGCCATGCTTGTTTATGTGCCTGATACATCATAGCACGGTCATGGTATGAGACGGTGTAGTGGGAAAACACCTTTATGGCAGGCGCGATACGACTCCACAAATGTTTATGCTTTAAAAGAAGAGCTAAGAAAATGTCAATACTTTTCTATTTGGTTATTATAATATTATATTGATTGTTTAAAACAAAATCCTGATAAACTGGTTAAACCAACAAACCCGGCCGCGCTAATAATTAATATTGTATCAAATTTATGGCCCTGCCGCACTAAGATTTGCTTTTTACGTTAACGTAAGCGATTTTCTAGGACCTTACTCGCTAGTGGCGCCCACTGGTGCCACAAGAAGCGATAGCCCATTTCATATGTAAGGACCTCACATTTACGTATTCAATATATGTTAATTTTATAAAACACCAACAGGAAAATGGTAATAGGAGGATAAATTAAACAATAACACTATAATTATGTTGTATAATTTATTAATATAATAGGTACAAAACATTTCTCACATGACTATAATACTAGTTTATAATCAAAAGCAAAAACGTTAAAGAGTTATTTCGTAAAATGGAATCTTAATCAAACATATGAAAGCTGATTTTGTAACAGCAAGTGTCATAATTGAAACATTTAAGAACTATGGACTGAATATTGAACAACAAACAGGAAAATATTATAAATGTGAAAGTTTGTGAGTATGTATGGATGTTTGTTACTCTTTCAAGCCAGAACGGCTGAACTGGCAACTGAAATTTGGCACAGAGATGGATTATAGTCTGGAATAAAACATAGGCTACTTTTTATCCCGGAAAAATATACGATTCCCGAGTGATAGATTTGTTTTTGTAGAGGCGAACCCGAGCGAAGCGAGAGTGAGCCGCTTGTATTTATATATTTATACATTTTATGTTTATAATGTATTATGAGACACAAAAGTATTTAATATAAATATTTTATGGTGAAGTAATAATAGAGTTTATACAATTAACAAATATACAAATTATTATGTTCTTATGAAAATTATTCGTCACAGAATCGTCTCAAATAATTACATATTCCATTTTAAGTTAATTTAAATTTAGTTGTAATGGTAATAAACTAAGGAACAATAACTAAGCGCATTACACATTTTATAAAATTCTTGTCCTTGATTCGATTTTAAAACGTAAACCAAAACATAATTCATTCACTACATATTCATATCCGAACTTATTATATTTATTACAATGCAAATAGAAAATTTAATTACAATTTAAAAAATCATAAATATAAAGTAATAAACGTAATTGCGCACTGTAATTTATTAAAAATATAAATTTAAAACTTGGTCGCACGCTCTTCTCACAATCGTATATAAGTATAATGTTTGTGACTACGCTATTCGAAAAACAATTATATCGTCATGAAATAGCCTATCCACATTAAATAATTAATTAATTAGAAATATAGTTTCTGTCGGATTTTACTAAAAAGCTGTCGGCGATTTTAAAATTCAACCGCTTTAAGGATAACGACAAACTATCTTAATGGAGGTTCAGGTCCAGGCAGGTCCGGGGCTGGTTACAAGTTTAACAAAAATCCAGACAAAGTCTAGGTAGATTACTATACTGTACTCACGGAGTGAATCATGGAAATCGCATTTTATGTTCCACATTACCATACAACTGATAAGGACAGAAAATTGTCTAGCTCCGCCCACTTACACGTGCAAATGGTTTTAAATCATAGGGCTTCTTCATGTTGAAGCGCAAAATCTCAGTGCTTGGTTCATTCGGTGAATACAGTAAGTATAGTTTGATAACGAGATACATTCGTCAGGTCGCCTGTAGAATGGTGTGAGTGTAGGTGAGGAGCTCCAGCGCGCGGGCCGCGTCGCCGGCGCGCGCGGCCTGCAGGCGCCGGCGCGCCGCCGCCAACGCCGACACTAGGCCCGCGCTGCGGCACACTAGCTTTGCCTGGTGACATATAAATATTTATAAACAAACGTCTCATATTAGTTCCCAAAATAACCAATAGAAAAATCTTTACCATTAAAGGTTATATAAATAAATGTATTAGGACATTGATACACATCACCATCTAGTTCCATGGTAAGCTACGAGGCTTGTGTTATGGATACCAGATAGTTGATACACTACACATATATAACTTTAAACACATACATATTATAAACATAAACACCCATGACTGAAGTACAAACATTTGTGCTACAGAGTGTATTAAACTTCTTTACTTTACGTATGTACGAAGCATTTTAGAATATGGCAGTAACATCACCTTATTACCAAATACATATCAAAAGACTTGAAAATATACAAACTAAGCTCATAAAATATTTACAATTCAAGGATTTTAAATACTTTGATCCAAACCAAAGTGCATACAAACACTATGGCATTGAAATACTTGAACATAGACGCACACAAAGTGACATTACTTTGTTACAAGCAATTTTAACTGGCAGAATTGATTGTCCTGATTTGCTGTCAAATATATCACTACTTGTCCCAAAATTAAGAAAGCGACATACCGCCCTATTATACAAACCACCAAAAAAAACACTATATGCTAAAAACGGCATCATACCGCGTCTGACACGAACCTATAACAAATATTACAGCGACTTAGACTTTTTTTTTTGATGTGGTGCATCAAGCGATGGAATATTTTATCCCGTTCTCTGATGTACCCGTTGGTGGCAAAGCTCGCCCATGGTTTAATGCCGAATGCACCTTTGCTGAAAAGCGTAAGCAATCGGCTTACCTTGCCTGGGTTGACGCTCGAGAACGCAAATCTCCGGATGTAAGATCCAAGAAGAGAGCCTTTAACTTAGCCGCCAAGTCCCACAAAAAGACATTAAAGAAGGCTCGTCTTGACCGAATTACACATTTTGGCGCAAAGCTCTCTGCCCAACCATCTGGCAGCAGAGCTTTTTGGTCCCTTACCAAAGCTGTCGAGACGAACTTCTCTCGGCCCTCACTGCCACCGCTGGTAAAATCTGACGGATCCCTGGCTCATACGGCAAAGGAAAAGGCGACTTTGCTTGCCTCTCTTTTTGCCCAAAACTCATGTCTAGACTCTGGCAATGCTACTCCACCACATCTACCTCACTGCGGGATCTCAATGGCTGAGATTGCGATAACTAATAAGGAGGTTAAGAGAGTATTGTGTCGTCTAGATGTGAATAAAGCCAGTGGTCCTGATGGTATACCAGCTATAGTCCTTAAAACATGTGCTCCCGAGTTGTCTCCGACTCTGACACGTCTGTACCGCCTTTCTCTTAAGACTGGAATAGTGCCTAAATCCTGGAAGCTTGCCAGTGTGCAACCAGTGCCCAAGAAAGGAAGCCGTGCTAACCCTGCCAATTATCGTCCGATCTCAATCACCTCCATACTCTGCAAGATTATGGAGCGTGTATTTAACACTCGTCTTATGGCATACCTAGAACACAACGATCTCCTCAGTGATCGACAATATGGGTTTCGCCGGAATCGGTCGACTGGGGACCTTCTAGTGTATGCCAATCACACCTTTGGCGAAACTATTGACCGAAGCGGGGAGGCGATTGCCGTCTCCCTCGATGTCTCAAAGGCCTTTGACAGGGTCTGGCACGCTAGCCTTATAAATAAGCTTTCAGCCTATGGCATATCTCCTGGCCTGATCGGCTGGATTAAAGACTTCCTGAGCGACCGATCACTCAGAGTTGTGGTTGATGGTTGTTCATCACAACCCTTAAAGACCAACTCAGGAGTTCCTCAGGGGTCTGTTCTCTCTGCAACCTTGTTTCTGCTACATATCAACGATCTGCTTATACCCGGTATCTATGGGTACGCAGACGACAGCACTATTGTAGAGAGATACCTGCCGAATCCTCGGGCCAGTAGAGATAAAATTCAGTCCGAAAGAGAGGCCATGGTAGATCGGTTGAATCTCACACTCAGGACAGTCTCCACTTGGGGCGATGCCAATCTTGTGAGTTTCAATGCCACCAAAACACAGGCGTGCCTGTTCACCACTAAAAGGAGTCCTTTCACCTTGACTCCTACTTTCCGGAATGTGCCTTTGGAATACACAGAACGTCTGCAGTTGTTGGGGATGGACATCAGCCCCAATATGAACTACGGGCGGTTCATCGAGTCTAAGGCTAAGGTCGCTGCGAGGAAAGTTGGCATCCTTGCAAAGGTCCGACAGTATTTCACGCCGGGACAGCTTCTTGTTTTATATAAAGCGCAAGTCCGGTCGTGTGTAATACTGTAGCCACATATGGGCTGGTGCTGCGAAATGCCATCTGTCAGCCTTGGACTCGATTGAGAGGCGTGCTCAAAGGCTTATAGGTGACCCTACGCTGGTAAAAGCTAACTTACAAAGCCTCGATCACCGACGTAGGGTTGCCAGCCTTTGTGTATTCTCTAGGTTACATTTCGGAGAGTGTGCGCAGGAACTACATGAATTAATTCCCCCATCCCCTTTCCATCATCGGACAACCCGACGAACGGCTGGTCTCCATCCTTATGTCGTGGACATTCCACCCGTCCGCACGAAGTGTTTCGCTACGTCATTTATTATACGTACGGCTAAGGATTGGAACAACCTGCCTGCGTCGGTGTTTCCGTCCGATTATAATATGGGTGTCTTCAAGGCAAGAGTGAATAGGTGGCTACTGAATTAGTGCGACTTACCATCTACGACTGCGTTACCACTTACCATCGGTGGAACGTAGTCAAGCACTAATTCTGAATAGTATAAAAAAAATTTAGACTTTTTTTTCTTTTTCCTTTATCAATATATGAGAACTCTGTTGTCTAATACATATACTATTATATCTTATAGAGTAATCTAATTTTGGCCATATTTATTAATAACTTTGTGCTCAAACTGTATTTCAATAATTTTATAACGCTGTAAGATTACCAAGAAATAAATGAATGAATGAATGAATGAATGAATAAATAAATAAATAAATTCGTGCTCACCACACAAATGAATGCCCCCAGCGGGACTCGAACCCGCGACCGCTGGCACAGTATGTTGTGTCACTACAAACTGAGCCAAACGTGTCGATATATATATTATAAATAAACCAATTATATATTAATTAACAATTTATATCACAACAAAGATAGAACGTAATTATTTTTTTATTCAAATAATTTAATAAATAAAATAATTATATATATTTTATGCAAATTGTATTAAAATAATTATATTAACATAATAATAATGTTTGAATTGTATAAACACAAAGAAGCGAGGATGTAATTTTGGTAGCTTTCCATAAAAATATGTATTTTTTTTTGCACAGTAATGAGTTTGTTGCAATTCTTGCAGTCAATCTCTCTCTCTCTCTGTCTCTCTCTCTGTAACGCTGCGCATACACTAAGGAAGGATTTTCAAAATTCAACCCCCAAGGGGATGAAATAGGGGATAAAAGTTTGTATGAAACTTTTTGTTTTTTGTTTTGTTAAAATTTCGTATGAATTGAGTACGGCAAAAATAAAGAGTTACGTATTTCAGCGTTTTCTAAAATTTAATCCCTAAGAGAGTAAAATAGGTGATGAAAGTTTTTATGAAACCCGTAGCGTAGCCGAGCGTTCTGCTAGTTTAATATATTACAGTGTACGGTGTTTACCCTATGATTGTTAGCCGCCAGCGCCCACACCGCTCGCGCCGCTAGCACCACCTCCTTTGTATTTCCCGTTAGAAGAAAACTCGATAAAAAATCCAGTAGATCCGCTAAAAATATTAAAAGTTGAATTAAGAAATGGTATAATATTTTCATGAAATTTAGTACACATGGGGTTTCGGGGGGCGATAAATCGATCTAGATTAGTCTTATATCTGGTAAAACGCGTGTTTTCGAATTTTCACGCAGTTTTCTTTACATTATTCCACGCAAAAAATTATGTTCGATAATTTCGCACGCTCAGATATAAACATCATGGTCAAGCGGCCAAGGTGCAAGATTGAATAAGTGTCCGGGTTCGAATCCAGGTCGGATACAAAGGTATATTTTTTTTTGTATTTATTCAAGATTTTGGTTTTTTTTTAAAGAAAATTGTACTGTTGACCAAAACCTCCGAGCGAAGCTCGGTGGCCCAGGTATTTTTAGAAAATGTCGTTTTATTCGTGTTTTGAATAATCAACTTTATCGATAATCAACTAAAACATAAACTTATTTTTTTTTATTGGAAAAAAATAATAAAAAGATGGCGTTTAGGTAGTCCTAATGTTGCCACTTAAACATAAACTGAAAAAAATGACTCTTTCTGACATCTATTGGCGAATAATAATACTATTTTTTTAATTGTAATCTGAATCTCGGAAACGGCTCCAATGATTTTCATGAAATTTAGTACACAGGGTGTTTCGGGGGCGGTAAATCGATCTAGATTAGTCTTATGTCTGAGACAACGCGTGTTTTCGAGTTTTCGTGCAGTTTTGTTTTGCATTATTCCACGCAAAATACGGTCGGTAATTTGCACGCTCGGGTAAAGCATCGTGTTCAAGCAGCCAAGGTGCGAGATCAACAATCACAGGTGTCCAGGTTCGAATCTCGGTCGCATACAAAGTTTTACGTTTATATTTTTTTAATATTTATTGAAGTTTTTAATTTAAAAAAAAAGACACTAGATTGACAATCATACGTGTCCGGGTTCGAATCCCGCTCGGATACAAAGATATAATTTATTTTTGTATTTATTCAAGTTTTTAGTTGTTTTTTAAGAAAATTGTACTTTTTAACCAAAAAACTCCGAGCGAAGCTCGGTGGCCCAGGTACTAAATAGTACTAACGCGACTGCAGGAAGGCTTGGCGATGGTGGTGCGCGGCGTGCGCCAGCGCGGGCAGCAGCGCGACGGGCGCGGGGCGCAGCGCAGGCGCGCCCAGCAGCGCCAGCAGCGCCGCCGCGCCGTCCGCGTGTGCGCCCGCCGCCGCGCACAGCCGCGCCCACGCCGCGCCCGCACCACCCTCTACACTGGCGCCACGCGCGCGCAGCTTGCATATACACGAGAGTATGTCGTTCTGTTGAAAATAAATTAATTTGTTAGATTTTATTTTATTTAATATTATTAATTCAATTATGTTTTACATCATCTCTCCTTACTTTGATATATGTATTTTTGTAACATTGGAAACTGTATTGGTGTAAGTTTTATTAATGATTTTCTATTTTATATTTTTGTTAGCACCGTTTGTTTCCAAAATAAATAAATTAATTTTAATTATTAAAAGGTCAAAGGAAATATTTTGATGTAAGTAAGTACTTAATTTACAACCCGGTGTCTCAAAGAACACGTTAAACCACTAGTCCTGAGCTTGATCTATCACCGCATGTCTCCTATAAAATATATCCTGACTTCATAACAAATCTCAGTGAACTCGTGTTGTGGGTGATATGTGTCGTTGACCGCGGTATCCGAAATCGATTAAAAAAATTTAATTAAAATTATCTTTAAGCTAAAGGTAACATCCCATAGCAGGCATCACATTTTAATCGCGCGTGTACATAAAACAGCAAACACTCCATCATAGAACCTTTTTCTTTCATTCATCATAATCAATGTAAACACCTGAAACCGTATAGCATTCTGTAAACCTATAAATATACCACAGATTGACAATATGTTAAATAAACCTCACGTACCAAACCACAACAACAATAAGATAATCAAACCCCTGTACCCGTACCTTAAGCATGATAGCCCTACAATGGTGATGCGGCGCGCAGTGCGCGAGGGCGGTGAGCGCGCGCGGCAGCGCGGCGGGGCGCGGGCGCGCGGCCTCGCGGCCCGCCAGCGCGCACAGCTCGCCCACCAGGCTGCGCGCGCCCGTGCAGCTGCACATGGCTGCCCATGCTGGAAAATACCATTACTGGTTTAAAGTTATTATGATTTTTGACACTGAATACATTTTTATTTATGTATAGTTTCACAGATTACCTTCCACATTATAGTATTAGTATGGATAAAGATGTTATACATTAAAAAAGGATCACTCAAACTACAATAATATTCTAAAGAACTACAGTTTATTAGTTTGGATCAAAGATAATTAATCACTGAAACTCGTTGTGATCCGATTTTCAAAATTTTTCCATTAATAGGCAGCTTTATTTTATTACAGCCGAATATGCTATAGGCTATTTTTTTGCGATAAAAATGCATTTATAATCATCATAATAACTTATTAAAGTCGAAAAAACATCTAGGGAAGGAAGTGCATAAGTCGTAATTAATTTTACAAAAAAAAAAAACGAAAAAAATGAAAATGAATTTTAGTTACAAAATATACAAATATTCATATACATATATAAGCATGTATAGATTATAATCATTATTGATGAACAGCTTATATCATTAATTAATTAGTACTACAGATATCAGCAGGACTTCGCGACCGTTACATGGAGAAGTTCCATTTTAATCGGTATTGGTCTGAAGTCCAAAATATGAACAATTTAAATCCCCATTCTGAGCAAAAATGATTTTTTACAGATATTTGAAATTTATGAAACCAATATTTTTCATGTAAATCAAATTTGCCAATCCTTCCATTATCGTTATCTATCAAACGATGGCGCGTCTTCGCTACCATCGTTTTACCATACAGACATATTCTTAAACATTATACTCAGTATATAGTTATATAGTTTCAAGTTGCAAAAGTGATATAAATACAATAACATTTTTTTTATTATATTACTCATTTAAAGCTACAATTTAAATTAATTAGGTCCAATAAGGCAATGTTTTTCATTCGGTAATTATACATGAATAACAGCACTATTCTTTGTATTTAATATTTTGAACTATAACATGAAATCCGTTCAAGCAGCAAAAATTTATAAAATAAGCATACATAAGCAACATACATACATACCTTTAGGGCAATCATTAGTGAATGTAACAAGTAGATTCATAAGAGTATCTCTTAATCGTTCATTCATCATGCACCAGGGCCACAGCCGCGTGAGGGAGGGCGCGATGTCCTCAGCTATATGCTCCTTGGCCGGCGGGCACTCGTACATGAGGCAGGAGATGAGTGTCAAAACCCAATTTAAAGTAATCAACATTGGTTCCTGAATTAATATAAACACAAACATTTTTAGTACTATTTTTTTTACAATGGACTACTATAGCCAGAACTCCGTAAGATGTCAAAAGGGCAGAATTATTATTATTATATTATTTTATATTGTGGTATCGTAACGATTTTCTCGTATATTGGAGACTAGCGGCTCACCCTCGTTTCAGTCGGGTTCGTCCCTAGGTACGTTTTAATGGTTAGTATGGGATAAATAGACTTTATATCATATGATATATAGCTTATAGCCTTCCTCAATAAACGGGTTACTTAATGCAAAAAGAATTTTGCAAATAGGATTAGTATTTCCTGATATTAGAACGTTCAAATAAACAACCTCTGCCTCTTTATTTTTAGGTATATTAAGCTACGCCAACTTTAAGTTATATATTTTTTTACTTTATTTCAATTTTCCTTAATGTTTTAGATTCCAATAATATTTCAAAACGATAAAAACTTATTGTCGTAGATTTTTTGTAGAATTAAAATTTTGTAACGCAGTGTAGAGTTATGTAAGTCATTATTTCCTAATCTATATAATTAGAACTATGGTTATATAAATAATATGGTTACATAAATATAACCATAGTTATATAAATACTAAAACTATGGTTACGTAATTACATAGTTCTAAACGGACTTTAAACAAAAGAAAATCTCATCATACATCTTATTTTTGCAATTTTTTTCTATAAATTTAAAATCGTCTTATCACCGAAGCATAAAATAGCCAATGTAATTATGTTTAACTAGCTTCTGACCGTGACTTTTACATTCTAACAACTTCTTAAAGTTTTAAATTAATAATCTGCCTATTATTTAAATTTGAGTTTGTATGTATATGTACAAATTCTATACAGATATATAGAGCTATACAGATCTTGATCATATTTAATACTCAGATACACTATAACCTGGACCACACATAAAAATTTAGCCACTTAGGGATGCACACGAGCAAAGCAAAAGTCGCTAGTATTGAACATGTGTTACAGACAGTGCCTAGTGCCTACCCACACAGGGCACTGTCTGTAACAAGTACATAACGCCTTTAAGACGTCTACAACCTCAGTTTCTCCCGCGACCATGATTGCTGTAAAGCATTCGAAACGTCGGGAACCAAAAATCAAAATAAATCCGCGAAATAATCAAAAAAGCTTGTTTATTTAAAATGTCAATAAATCTAAGAAAGTATTATGTTCTTATTGGATAAAGCACTCACATGGTCTGCATTTCTGATGACGTCTGCGGGTTTGGCGTGCAAGGAGAGCGCGTCGCGCAGCGCGTGCAGCGCGCGCAGCGTGGCGCGCGGCAGCCGCCGGTGCACGCTGTAGAGCCGCGCGCGCGCGCTGGCCGCCAGCACGCCGCACAGGCACGTGCACACTGTCGTCCACCTGGCGTCTGACAATGTACTTACTGTTATATCACCTGTTATCACACTATAAATCCATACAGTCGTCTATCAGAGGCGTATATACGAGGAACGAGTGTAATAATGGAGGTCCTACTGTCATACACGCTTTTTATATAACTGTCCGGAACGACGTTAAGGTAGACTACTTATGTGTAATGGTATTGTATAATATTTCAATTATATGCTTCTAGTGCTTTATACAATATCTCTTCTTTATTTGATTAATATCTAGGACAAATAATATAAGGGAACAATAAAATGCAAACACTATACCTTGACTAGCACAAGATATATCTTTTTCGGAGCATTCCTGATAGATTTTGATCAGAACCTTGCAGATTTCTTCAACCATATATTCAGGCTGACAGTCCTCCCTCGCACTGTCCCCTGCGCTTAGCGAGTCTGATTTTGAATATGATGATGGTAAGTTATCAAAATACTCTATATCTGATTGATGTTTTGATGAGTCATTGCATTTCTGTTTTTTAGCCAATAGAGATCTGGCCAGTTGTGTAATACAATGCAATGATGATTCTTGTAATTCTGAAAAAAAAAATGAATAAACTTATATCCATATTAATTTTATAAAGATATGTCTGTTACCTATTTATGATTAAACCGCTAAACAAACTTCGATGAAATTCGTTAAGGACATAGATTGCAGCCTGGGGACGGGCATACGTTATCTTTCATCCCTGTCCTGCTTACCATAAAAGCAAGCATCGGACAAAAAAGTTCTTAAGTAGTTCTTAAATATTATTAATAACAATATATACGTTTTTAGCCATTCGATATAACTCACAGGTAGAGAGTGATGATCTTGATCAAGTTGGTGACATGTTTTTAGATATTTATTTTTGAAAATGTATTAACATAATATCCATACCATTATATTCACTTTTTAATGCTTGAAGCAGTAAATCGAATAACATCAAACGATTTTTCTTCAATTCCCACCACACAGCATCACTGGCGGCGCGCTCTGGTAGCAACAAAGCTAGCAAGTACAATGCTTGCGAACGCGCTGAGATACATTCTAGATCACTTTCCTCTGAAAATAGTATATAAAATAACAATTTTCCTGTTAAAGTATAAATAATCACTGTGTTTCCCAATTTTTATCCGGGAGACATTGTTTTAAATAAATTTGTTTTAGTAAAATTGTGACGAGGTCGAAGTTACAAATTGAATAAAACGCAATACTTGGAATGTTATATAGCCAAATCAACAATTCGTTGATTTTTTGCTTATTTCTTTCAAAGTGAATTTTTAACCTCCGACGCAAAAACGAGGGTGTTATATTATATATTTGACGTATCTGTGTGTGTCTGTGTGTGGCATAGTAGCTTCCGAACGGAAAAACCGATTTTAATTTTGTTTGAAAGGTGAATTATTCGGGAGTGTTCCTAGCTATGTTTAATGAAAATCGGTCCAAGATGGCCGCCGCCACAAAATGGCGGATTCCATATTATTTCACAACTCCCTCAATATGGGTATCAAATGAAAGGACTTCACTAGTAGTATGCTATATAGTATGATAAATTTGAAATCCAAAATGGCGAATTATATGTCGGTTTTTTATTTTAAATTTAATTATAATTATTGTTCTACTTGAATAATAATTATAAAAAATATAGCTACATTGATAGACATGGGTGTTTATATTTATAATATGGATGGATTTAAAGTTATATAATATGTGTAGCGTATCAACTATCTGGTATCCATAACACAAGTCTCGTAGCTTATCATGGAACTAGATTGTGTTGTGTGTTAATGACCCAACATATTTATTTATTTTATTTATTGATTTTAATCGCATTCGAAAATTAAAGATTCCATTTGCACACATATATATAACACAGTGAACTTATAATAAGGCCTTGGTTGTGCATTAAATAACGCATAAAGGTACGTAGTTACGTACACAAGCGATTATACTGCTTAGACTTAAATTCGTGACTTTAGGTATGCTAGACACTGCTAGTGAGAAAGATCGGTAGATACTTCTACCGCTAGACATATTTAAATATTGATAAAATATAAAATTGTGTATCATTACATATATATTCTTTATTGCTCTTATTTAGGGTCTTATCAGATTACTTATGAGTGGATTATCTTAGCAGACAAAACGTCTAGAATAAACTGCTATACTTTGAAATGTAAGAATTGCTGTTAAACTAAGTGTTTTTTTATTTATTTATAGCTTATTTTGCTTTCTTAGGGGACCACGTCTTCATAATTATTAATAGAAAAATTAGTACCTACAGAAGATAGGAATAATAAAAATCTGAAAAGTAATATATTTGTAAATATATTATAATTGTGAAATAAAGTGATATATTATACTAATACCTTTTTCAAAGGGCGTGAGCATGACAAGCAAATTGTAGAGACAATCTTTGGTTCCCGCGAGAGATGTCCGCACGCACTTTCTCATTGATGCTACGGCGAGAGCACGACACGTCGACGTGCGAACGCGATACACCTCAGATAACGGTCCTTGAGACCAAAATACACATCTGCCAACAGACATTGTTGTGGTAAATATTTTACTTAGAAAACATAATGCGATAGTACTAGATTAAGTGCAATCCAAATTCCATTCCAAAAGTGCATTCCAGATTAGCGCTGGATTTACACTAGGGGTACTCGGGGCTAGTGCCCAGAGCGGCGAATTTTTAGGGGCGGTAAAATTCGGAAGGTGAGAAAAAAAGTCTCTTCGCGTTATCGAAAACGCTTTCTTTATTTTCCAAAAAATAATTAATTAAAAAAAATTAATTAGTACATTTTTCGAAAAATTGAAATCATTTGTTTGCATTTAAAAAAAAACATACATAATCGATAATAGGGCAGCATTTTTTACTATAACCAGTGGCAGCGCTAAGGTTGAATCCGGCCCTGTTCCAAATTGACAATTACGCATAATTGTCAATATCTACTACTGGTAGTAGTCTACTATGGACCAAAAGAACAATTGTAATACGCGTAATGCCTCACTCGATTTGCGGACACTGAACCTAGTTTTAGTCTAGCGGCAAACATAAAATAAACAACTACAACTAATAATAATAGTACTTAAGATTACGTTAAGTAGGTAATAAGTCTTTACTATATCGAAATAAATACATACTGTAATTTCCATACAATTGTAAGTCAATTCATCTTTAATTCTTAACACTGAATATATGTATAAATCACATAAATATTCAATTGGGTTCAATGCGTGACTTCAAAATAAAAGAAAAACATAATATTTCTCTTTTAAACATTGAATTTACCAGAATAAAATAAGTCTTACGTTAACATTGCTTACATGCAAAGTCAACGACCTAGAGCAGCAAAATGGTAATAACATACAACCTGGGTACTTACTTGAACAATACCCTATAAAGGCCTTGATCGTTCCACGCTTGCACCGGTGCGTTCTTGTACGTAGTGATGTTGTGCACGACGTCAGCTAACGATGCAATTAGAGCTGAAGTTGGTGGACACTTTTGAAATGGCAGGGAAGGTGAAAAATGAAATTCGCCGCTTTTCTGAGCACGAACTTCTAGTTCTGCACCGCGCTCCAACATCGATAGGGGTACATTAGGCTCTAGGAAATTGTTAAATAAAAAAGTTTAAATATTTTTCTATTGAAGTATTAGGTCACAAATGGTTATACATTTTATTGCATTTGCAAATAATTTCAATTAAGACCGTAACTGACAGTTTGTTATGGTATTAGGGTAACAAATTAGAATAAGACCTCTTTTGTGTCAAAAATCGTACCCTACATAAATGTGATACTAGGGACAACAGCCAACCATGTTGCGTTACCACTTAGGTGACTGAAGAGAAAAAGGGTAGACAACGGATGGTTAGGCGAAACAGATATAATTGTAATGGATTATTTCTTTTCAGTTTTGTACTAGATGAATATTAATACTTGACTCAGAAATGCTTACCAGTCCTGGATAAAACAAAACATAGGAAAAATTGCTCAACTACAAAATAAAAATATTCATAGAAGATAAAAACCTCATCAATTTTATCTAAAATATGCATAATACTTAAAAATAATTTCATCTGTTAATGTCAATGTAACTTTAAGTGCAGAATACTTAGTAGGTAATATTAATATCAATAATTTAAAAAAAAAAGTGAACTTGTTTTTATTAAATAAATAGGCAGGTACTAAATTTCTAGACTAATTACGCATGTGAAATATATTCTGATCAAGTTATATTTTGATTAATATGTAAGGTAATATATCGTTGAAAAACAATGAATGACATTCTTACCAATATATTTTTTATATTTTGTATCATTACAAAATTCTATGAAGATATTTAAGCATTCTTCTATAAAACCCCCTTCAGCCAATTCTTGTAATAATTCCATTTCTATAACCTGTAAAATTATTGAAATGTACACAGATTAGTTTTTTAATGGACATAAACAGTTTGTGTACAGATATTGAATATTAACAGTAACTAAAAATCTATATATGACTAGTAGACCCGGCCACGTGTTGCTGTTATACATTTATACTAGCGGACCCGACAGACGTTGTCCTGTCTACACGTCTTTATTTTGAAAATTTCAAACTTTTTTTAATAAGCTAAAACATTCTGGACCATTTTGATGAAAATTATTATTCAAATTGTGAATGTAAACCATTCCTAGATCCCCTTGAAAAACACACAAAAAATTTCATCAAAATCGGTCCAGTCGTTTGAGAGAAGTTCAGTGACATACACACTCACACAAGAATTATATAGTTTAGTTTAGGGTTTTAGTTTAGGGTATCCGTTTTCAGGTTCTCTCTCCGGATATAAAAATCTTTAATTTTGTAAGAAAATTATTATTACGTTAAAATCGAATAAGTAGTTTGAGGAGTTCATCGCGGACCAACATGACATGGCAATTTTATATATTAAGACTAGGCAAAGACAAAGCTCATTATCTTTTTCTCCTTTGTATGTCAACCGATTTTATTTATTTTTTTATTTAGTAGGTAATGACGAGCTCTTGGTCGTCGTTGTTTCTAATTAAAAAAAAATCATAAAAAAAGATAATAATTATCATGGGCGACTTTCGACTAATGGGTGAAAACTAGTTATAATAAAAGTAGCATTCTATGTAAGTAACTTTTTGCAAGCGACAATTCCCAAGAAACCACTTGATGTACAGGAAAGTAAAAGCAACAACCCTAATATCATCATCCATTCAGAAACTATATATAAGAGAGAAGTCATGTCGACCCATTGTAATATTTGTATTATTAGTTAGAATGTAATCTAATAAATAAATTTAAATGTATAATAACATATTATAATAATAAATATGAAACAAAGACGTGTTAAATTTTAAAATCAAAGTATTATACTTATTTATAATAAAGTTATCTTTACCGGAAATCACACGTAAAAGCTCCGCACAGAACATCTATTTGTAAGGAAAAGGGCCATATAGGTATCGGGCACGTACGAATAATAATTATTATCCATAGTAATATTTGCGATAACGACAATACCTTCTTCCTTACCGTACTTATTAATATGATTAAGTGCTTATATTTACAATGCAGTAAGGTAAACTTCTATTTCGAACATTTGTTTATACATAGCAAAAGCAAAATAACCAATGCTTATCATAAATGTGACTTTATAATACCCTATACAGAGAGATAAACTGCCTCGGTGGTGTAGTGGCTAGCATGTACGGCTGCATACTCGAAGGTCTTGGGTTCGAGTCCCGGGTCGGGCCAAGTTTAGTTATTGAGTCTTTCTGTATAGTAAGCCTCAGTAACAGCCCGGAGTTGGGAAGTTGGCGGTGTTTCACCCCCGTGCCTCGGAGAGCACATAAAGCTGTCGGTCCTGCGGCTTAACTCCCACTGGTCGTGTCGAGTAGTCGTCCCACCAGAGTATTAGAGTGACAGGAATAGAGAGTGCACGTTGTGTCTGCGCGTACACTTGTGCACTATAATATCTCCTGCGCAGTTGGCTAATCTCAATGAGATTGGCCGCCGTGGCGGGAATCGGTCAGGAAAACATCATACAGAGAGATTTATAAGTTCTTACGATACATTAATAAAGAATTTGCGAACTTATTTTCACAAACTTTTTAATACATATTATTAATGTGACTTTGATTATTTGTCCGTAATGCAGGAAAGGAATAAACGATCGATGTGATTTTTCACATGAACAAGTTTATGAACATCCTTTTCATTCCGGTACATCAACGGTCCCCGTGGCATTTTAGCATAAACAAATATTTAGACATATGCCTGAATGGAAATAGAATTAAAATAAAAACCAAAAACTTAGTTAAATGCTTAAGTGTTTGATAAACTGTATATTAAATTTTGAATTCAACTCTACATAACAGTTTATTTATGTTTGTCATAAATCATCTGAGTAACTACATATTTGTGTATGTGATTTTTTCTTGCTATTACTTTGAATAATAACAAGATGCCTGCAATTTGTAAACACTTTAGTCAGCAAACAAGGAAGTCTTTAAATAAAACGCTACAATTTAGTGTTTAAATATTTTTATATTATATTTATAACTACAAAATATCGATAAAATGTAATTGTTATGATTACAGATTTCTTATACTTATGTACATATTCAGTTCCAGATATAAGTTAAATAAACTTAGGCGAAATTATAAGTAATGGATTGTGGCAGATAAGTTGTCTGTTTTTTTTTTTTACTTTTAAATTATAATTGGAAATTAAAAAATATGGATTTCATCGTACGACTGAATCCAAATTAAAAAATAAATTTGAAAATTGCCAGATAAAGGTTATCATTTATTATTTTATATCAACAAAAATATAAAATCCCTACTTATATTTATTATAAAAGTAGGTAATACTGATAACCAACCACACATATCATGATTCTAAGATTAGATTCTATTTGGGAGAAAGTGTTTTCATCTTTAACTATGTACTATGTAGAGGTCTAAATCTCAACCAAATGCTTCCTTTATTTTTTAACATAACACTCCTCGCGTCATATTGTATGCTTGGAGTAGTTCTAGCACAAGGCTCTAGCACATAGTTTGATAGAATAGTTGTCAGGCCAGCTGCTACGATTAGTTGAGCGAAACGTGCACCTGCAAATGAAGACAATACGATAACTTAGCAAGATCAGAATACTGGCATATTATATTCATAGTTTTTCTACGACCTTAATTTGTCATAATTTGTTCATATTAACCTTCTAAGTAATGGCCTAAGAGCCTGTGAACGCCAGACCTTATATAGCCTGAACTTCATAATGGTCTATCGTTCTTATCTGTGTTGGGATATATATATATATTAATACTCGTACATAATAATATTTTTTCTTGTTTATACACATTAAATATAAACTACAGATTTAATCGATCTTATTAATGTTTTATATGGATAATTTTGTCTGTCAAAATTATCTCTCCTATGTGCTGACTTCCTTTTATTGCTTATGGTCCAGTCAATATAGGAAAAATCGGCTTAATTTACATCTCAATATCAATCTACAAAAACTAGACTTTCACTTGGTTTTACCTGGATCTGAGTTTTTATCAGGGTGGACCTCATTAAAAAATCCAAACCCAGGTTACAGTGGCTATAATGACCTTGGCAAGGTGCCATGATGTCATTGTTGCGTTCTCCAATAGGGCAGATGTTGCACGTGGCCCTAATACAGATACCTTAAGTAATAAATCGAGAAATATTATTAATAGAAAAAAGTTTTGAAATAAAAGTTGTAGGTAATTAAAAGATCTATAAATTTGATAATAGATAAAATTGCATGTAAGTAAACGGTTAGGGAGATAATCGCGAAAACCTGACGAAGGTAGCGAATTTTGTTCGTTTCAAGCGCGATATCTCAAGAAATATTAATTTTAGAAAGCAAAGTTTCAGTTAAAAAAGATAGTATAATTAATTTAAAAGGGAAAAGATTTCTATAGTTTTTACGTAGGATAAGCCGTTCTGGAGATATTGAATAAAACGCGTTCTTTGCGACAGTGGCTTAGAAAATGACCCTTTAATCGAATGCCAATATCGCGGAAATGGCTTTATTTTATGTGGATTGATTCACTATATTGACTAGACTATTAAAGGCTTTAAGAGGATTGTGAAGTGCCGATACGCGGCGAGAGTAGGTATTTTTAAAAATGCTATCTGTTTCATACCGCTTTGCATCCCCCCGGCAGTGAACAACACAAATACAACATACGCAAATTCTCACACACACTATGATAGCAGCAGCCGGTGACGCGCGGGCGCTTGCGGGGGGCGGGGGTGGGGGCGGCGCGACTCGGCGCAAGAGCAATTTCAAAATTTATCTAATATTTATTATTTTAACGGTTTGCGTACAATATACATTCCCTACAAGTTACATCGCACCTTTATTCATAAACTTAAATAACTCTAAATTACAATTCTGTGGCGAATATCATTTAAAATTTGACTTGTTTAGATTGATGACTTCAAAAAATCATAAAAAAATAAATAGGTGGTTTAGATCAATTACAAAAATCTCGTTCCAAAAGTTGAAAATTATAGAATTTTTTGTTGTTTATGTAGGTACTAATAGACCCATCGGAATCCTTTTATTGTTAAAATAATTATTTTATTGAAAACCTGAAGTTTTATGATTTTATAATGTTAGCAGGTATATAAGGAATAGAAATTCATAAAATTACCTGATCATGAATGATGATGATTTACGATTTTTTAACATATCTATGACTAAATTTTATAAAATATATCAACTTAATTTTTTAAAATATATTTTTAACTAATGAATAAACAAGATTAGATTACGAATGATTTTCATTTCTTTCTGTAATTGCCCTAAAATCATTTTTTTCAGAAAAATCAATAAAATTAACTCCAAAAACTAATAAAATATCGATAATTTCGAAAAAATTATAACGAATAGTATGTATATATATATATATATATATATATATATATATATATATATATATATATATATATATAATTATACACATACTATTCGTAATAATTTTCATAAAATTATAACGAATATTATAAATTATAACGAATATAGAATTAAAAATATAAATTTTACAAAAATAAAAGTATTTTTATTGCTCCTTCTAAACGGTAATAGTCCAGCAATTAGCAAAAGAAAGCGCGTGATCGGTGGAGGGCGAGGGGTGGAGGGGGTGTAGGAAGTGGTCCTTACTCATTCAAACTTGGCCAGATATAATGATGATGATGATATAGAAAATATTTTTATTTTTGTATGAAAATGAAAATTTAAGAAATATTTTTTTTTCTTGTTACAGAGGTTGTTGTTATGATGTAAATAGTATATTCCCAAAAGGTCTTCAGTAAATTAAAAATGACCCTGTATATATATATATTTATATATATATATATATATATATATATATATATATATTTATATATATATATATATATATATATATTTTCAGTTTTGTATTTTTTCTCAGAAATGAGATATTTTCCCGCGGTAATGCTATAATATGTTGATCCGGATAACCAGCTACCACCATACCAAATTTCATCAAAATCCCTCCAGTGGTTTTTCTGTGACGTGGTAACAGACAGACAGACATACAGACAGACAGACAAAAATTCAAAAAACTATAGATTCGGCCTCTGTATCGATAATAATGTTTATTTCAATATTATTTTCCAAAAAATATTTAATGTACAGATACGGCTTAGTTACAATCTATACATACGAGTATAATAAAATTCTAAACTTTGGATTGAATCCTTTCAGTATCGATCGATATATCGATATTACCTTCTCCTCCCTAGGAGATAATAATATCGATAGCACCTTCAACATCACTACAGTCTAAAATATGCCCCTGCCCCCGACCCGTATGGTGCGATAGAGAGAGTTGCAAGCCTTAGACTCAATTACCTACATTTCCTTTTTGAAATATTGTTTCGGGCGATAACGTTTTCACCCCCCTAAACATTAACGAAATGAGACGATTTTGGTCTCATTAGATTCAGTACACCTTAATCTAGGTCTGTACGTTTTCCTTTTTTTGTAATTCAGTTTAGTTTAATTTAAAAAAATAAAAACGCTGGAGGAAGTTTTTAGGTCAAAAATATAGATATTTAGATGCTAATAACTTCTGTCGTACGCAATATTTCAAAAAAATAAAAACGTACGGACCTAGATTTTGATTATATCTACAACATTTCCAAAAATTATAAAAATTAGACTATGTTTAAGGGGGGAAAAACGTTATCGCTTTTTGTATGAAAATTTACAGGTTCACAATCCTCTTAAGTTAAAGCTCTTGTACATACTACTACTCACGCATATTAGCTAATGTATTTTATCAAACATATTGAATAATTCTGCTGTAGATAACTTATCAAGTATATAAACATAAATTACAACATACTTCGGAAGTTAAACTGCGTAAAACATAAATACCCAACCCAATAAAATCTGTATATAATAGTAACAAATACTAATACCTATAAATAAAATATTTTTTTAAAAACTGACTGTTACGTATTACCTACAGAATTTACCCCAAAACAATAGTTATTGATTTTTTTGTCTTTATGTCAGTTTGTCTGTATGCGCATTACACACAAAAAGTACAGAACCGATTTTAACGAAATTATAATATGTAGGGAATAGTGATAACTTATTACTCCTGTCAATATTTAGGATAACTTTAGCTACAGGAATTTCCACGGGGAAACACAGTAACTGGTTCTATCAAGTCGTTCTTAAAACAGGACTAACGCTGGCTAAACTTCAAGAGCTAAATCAATACAATGTATTAGTAATATAAGTTGTAGGTCTTAAAAAGGCCTAGAGAAAAGTCTACAATAGCGTAAGTCTACCACCTACATTTTTTCTATTCAATAATTTTATCCATTCAAAACGTACCTACCCGAGTCAAGCGAGGATAAGTCGTTAGTAAGCGAGGGCCAGTCGTATATAATAAATAAAAAATTATAAAAAAGTAGTTAATTTAGCAGGGATTTTAAGGGACAAGTATATTTGAATTGGACAATAGTTTCATATTATATGTATCTATCAAATTTCAGTAGAGTTTATTATATCTAAACAAACCTAAGATAAAATCTTTAAAAAGCTACATTTAGAAAATATTTATTCCTACGATGTGCAAAAGAAAGACTTTACAAGTAGGTTACGCACATAATTCGTATGAAATTGTATTGAAATGTAAACAAATTATTCACTTTCACATTCATTACCTATTGTTTAAATAACATCGAATTCAATGACTGATACTTTATGTAGAATAATTACTCACAGAAGTTGTTTTAAAACTATACGAATTGATAATACAGTAAAGTAGCTTTAAATAACACATTCCAAAACATAACTCAAATATTCACAAAGAGAAAAGAGAAATTTGTTAATAATAAACTTTTAGGCACCTACCTGGGCAACTTCTGGGGCCATCGCCAAATGCGACGAAACCCGTTGGATTAAAGTCATCTTGAAATCGATCTGGATCGAATTTTTCCGGATATGAAAAATGCTTAGCATCCCTTTGAATGCAATATATAGGTATTAGGAGAGCGTCTCTTTCTTTCATATTCAGTTCAGTACCAGGGAGCGTGCAAGGTGCTGTGCAGAGACGGGTAGTTAGTGGTGTTGGAGGATGCAGTCTTAAAGTTTCTAAAAACGTTTGAGCTACTAGTCGCATGTTGCACGCAGCCTCATAATTTAATTCACCGTAGCGATTTAAGCATTCCTTTATTTCTTCTCGTAATTTATTTTGTATCTCTTGATCTTTAGCCAGTTCATACAAACAAAACGATAATGTGGTTGACGACGTTTCTAGACCAGCTAACATAAATATAAAGGAATTTGATACTATCAATTCATCCGTCATAGGAAATGCTGTGTCAGTTTTTTGTACGTTCATCATAAGTTGAATAAAATCGCTGCGTTGCTTACCAGTCCTACGTCTCTCTGATAGAACACGTTTAATAATATTAGTAAAAAATACTTCTATATCCACCGCGTACGACCTGAGATTTAAAAGTTTAAATAGACGTGGAAAAAATGCACGACAGTATCGTTTTAAAATAGTTGTGCTATCAGCTTTGAACATCCTTTTAGCCATTATCAAAAATGGCGATTGAGTGTCTCTAAGAGCACCAGGATCAACCCCGAATGCGCAGCTACCTATAACATCCGTAGTGAAACGACTCATCAACTTCGGAACTTCGATGTCTTCCTTTGATTCTTCCAATAAAATTGATTCTAGTGTTTTCGCACAGTCTATAACTAGAGGAAACATAGCTTTCATTTTAGCCGAAGAAAATGTAGGCGTAATAATTTGTCTCATCTTCTGCCACTCAGTGCCACTCATATTAGCCACATTCCGCAGTAATGGTTCACGTACTGTATCCGTAGCTACAGAAATGCGATCACTAAAATTTTGAAATTCTTTAGATAACACACTCTTCACCAATCCGATGTCAAATAGCAGCAACGCCGGTCTTCGGGCTTGAAATATACCCATATATTTTTCATTTTTGTATTGATCATAAAAATACTGAAGCATATTTGTGTAGCTTCGTCTCATAGTTAAAGTCGCGCCAAAATTGCCAAAAATTGGACACGGTTCCCTATAAGCAACATTCCTGTGGTACCAGTACTTCCTTCCACTTGAGGCATAGTGAAATATCATAAGTGTCAGTAACAATAAAAGTAAAATCACAAATATTATAAACGTAATAAACATTTTCAGCTTTCTATATATTTCAAAAATACAATTAACAAGGATACGATTGAACGCGCATTAAGTACATGAAACTTAATTATTTATCGTCGCGATATGAATAGTAAACAAAGCAGTGTGCGCGTCCGATTGAATTTGTGGCAATGCGCGGCGCTTGCGGCGGCCGCGGCCAGAAATCGAATGAGCACTGAGTACTGACTAGTATCGCCAGAGAGCGTCAAGATAAGCTCTATGCGTAGCTTCAAGGTCGTATATGTTGACGTACCGCGTTCGTGACTTGCATTGCATGTACCCGCATGTCCACTCTTTATGGCGTCTTTTTACTTTTATTCTAAAAGATAAATTTTGTGTTTATTCTCGTATCTGTTATAGGCTCCGATTTTACAACAAATCGACCATTCTCTAAAAGTAATTAAATCAGAGTTTTTTTGCTCTTTTTTACCTCATTCAGACATTCATATCACCCTATATATATAAAAAAAATCTTTTCCATTCTACGCAACATTGGCGAAGTAAATTGTACCCAACTGGTGCTAAGAGGCAAAAAATTATTTTATGTAATATCGATGTAGATAAAATATAAATATTTATAATAAAAAAGAGTATTTGTTTTTCATATTCATACATCGTTAATATTAGAAGACTCTTGACATTGTATACATTCTTGTTATACTACTTATAATATAAATAACTAGCGACTCACCCTCGTTTTAGGTTTATTATAGATTTCTCAGAGATGATATATTTTCCCGCAGTAAAAAGTATCCTAAATGTTAACCCGGATAACCAGCTATCATCATACCAAATTTTATAAAAATCTGTCCAGTGGTTTTCACATGATACGTTCCCAGACAGACAGACAAACAAACAAAAAATCTAAAAACTATAGATTCGGCCTCTGTATCAATAATAATGTCTATTTCAATAAGATTTTCCTAAAAAATATTTAATGTACAGATTCAGCTTAGTTACAATTTTATTGTATGTATAGATAGATATTCGTTATTAGTATATCAAAATAAACGGTGAGTAAATATGTCTATAGATTACCGTATTACTATTTCGTAGGAGCTGGTATAATGTAGGAAGCTCTACTAGAGCGTGAATTTTAATGGAAATCTCGCGAGCGGGAAAGCTTCGGCATTCCTTTCTATATCATTTCAGAACAAACATTATATTGGTTTTATTATAATATATTACTTATAGATATATAATATTCGCTCTCAAAGATTTCATCCATATCCATTATAAAATCTGCTACATATATATGTACAAATATATATATATACATCATTTCTTATCAGACTTTTATTTCATCTCACTGGCTATATAAGTCATTCATTTTTTGACATTATTATAACGATCATTGTAGTTTTAAGATTAATAACAAGTAACATATTCCAGATGGTTGATCAGTTATACGCGATATTTAATATGTTTGGCTCATGCAACATGAACTTAACATTCTCAAGGTTTTAAGACTTACGTATATATACATACTAGCGACTCACCCTCGCTTCGCTCGGGTTCGTGTATAAGTAGGTACGTTTTGACGGTTAATATGGAACAGATAGTCGATCCTTTGCTCTGTGAAAAACAAAAACAAATCTATCCCACGGGAAGCGGAAATTTTTCCGGAATAAAAAGTAACCTATGTATGTATGTATCTGGAATAGTACATAGGTATGTACCTATGTACTATTCCAGAATATAATATTATAAATGCGAATGGACGTTTGTTAATGATGCCAGAATGGCTGAACAGATCTGGATGAAATTTGGCAACGAGATAGAATATAGTATGGAACAGCACATATTAGGTTACTTTTTATCCCGGAAAATGTACGTTTCCCGTAGAATAGATTTATTTTTGCTTTGCACAGAGTTTTTCTATTCCATATTAACCATTAAAACGTGCCTAAAGACGAACCCTAACGAAGCGAGGTGAGTGTTTATAATATATTTGGTAAATCTATAGATTTATTTAGTACACAATAAGAATATTTATATCGAAAACAATTTTTTACAGTACAGTTAGAGCATATGACATTCTACAAATGTACAGAATTAAATATAAATGTTAAGTGCATACAAGAGTAGTAAAATGACAATTGTTTATGTCAACACATGTGGTTTATTGCTTTGACCGTTAAATGATGTTTAGAAGTCATAAAAAAAGAAGTCAAACCAATTGAATATAGCTGTTAGGTTATAACAATGGACAATAGCACTAAATATTTAATACACATCTATACATATAATAAAATTTTAACTCAGCCGAATCTGTACATTATATATTTTTGGAAAATCTTATTGAAATAAACATTATTATCGATATAGAGGCCGAATCTATAGTATTTAGAATTTTTGTCTGTCTGTATGTCTGTCTGTCTGTTACTGCATCACAGAAAAACCACTGGATAGATTTTGATGAAATTTGATATAGTGATAGCTGGTTATCCTGGTCAACATTTAGAATACTTTTTACCGCAGAAAAATATTTCATTTCCGAGAAAAAATACAAAAACTAAGTAACCTAGAGTATAATAATATGTAAAACGTAAGAATTTGATTTTCGGTCATCTGAACACGGACGGAGCCGCGAGCAATGCTAGTCGATAATAAATTGCTTGTTTTTAATACCACAAACTAAACACACAATTCTATTGTAAATCGCAATTGACGTACCTAACGTTCTAATTTATGTACACATTCTGGACCTATTTGTATTTTTTCCTTATACCGACACTTTCCTTTAGTCAAGCAATTCGTATAATGTTGTTTACGAACATAATATTTTTTATTCATTTTTATTAAAAGCTTATTAATAACCCGCGTTGTACCCTCGCTTCGGTCGAGTGCGTCCCTAGGTGCTTCACATAACCTGTTTTACAGTTTACTTCAGGTTGAAATCTATCCGTTAACAAAATTTTATCCAAATCCCTTCAATCGTTTCACTGTGAAAGAGTAATAAACATACCTACACGGGTACAAACTGTCATATTTATTATAGTCATTCGCTTAAGAGAATACAATTCTTAAGTTCTCCTATTTACGCTTCACAAGTCGAAGAAAAATTCATCAAAAAGCATTTCTATTAATTTTTCATTAAATCTATACTAATATTATAAAGACACATAGTTTATTTATTTGTTTGAAAGCGCTAATATCAGGAACTACTAATCCGATTTGAAAAATTCTTTTTGCATTAGATATTCTGTTAATTGAGGAAGGCTATAATAGGCTATATATCAACATACTACTACTCAAGGAAGTGGAGCAGTAATCATAAATGTCATCAAATCGGGCAGACTTCCATACATTATTATAAAACTGATTTTTATATCGGAAGTTTGAACGCGGGCGAAGCTGCGAGTACTTGCTAGTTCTAAATAAAAGAAATTGCATTATTCCTAAAACGAATAATTAAAAAAAATATGTGTCACATTTATATTACTTATTATCAAAATAAATAAATTATTGTAATAAGTAAATATTTTTTTCTATTTTTTTTTGTTTATGACACAACTATAATAATGTTACTGGCCAAACTGCTGTTTCCTACGCCAAACCAGTTCATCCAAAGTGTGTCAGGATATACTAGTTTGGCCCAGGAGATTACGCCGAACTGATTTTGAAGTATTATTCGGCTGCAGTTTAGTATAAGGGACGGGGCTCTGGAGGAGTGGATACAGGTATTATTATACGACAAGCCCAGGTTGAATCTTGAGAAGGTTAAGGCAGTTCGGCTTAGGCCAAACGAATTAAGCCTAAAGTATTTAGACCAAACTAGATTGTCTAGATTGGCTGGGCTAATAATTATAATATAAAGACCTCCCGACCGACTTCGGCCACAGTGGCCAGTCTCATTGAGACTAGCCATCTGTGCAGGAGATATTATATATAGTACACAAGTGTACGCGGAGATACAACGTGCACTCTCTATCCCCGTCACTCTTATACTCCGGTGGGATGACCACTCGACACGACCGGTTAGAGTTAAGGCGCAGGACCGACGGCTTTAAGTGCTCTCCGAGGCACGGGGGTGAAACACCGCCAACTTCCCAACTCCTTCATGTTACTGAGACTTACTAAACAAAAAGACTCAATAACTAAACTTGGCCCGACCGGGGACTTAAGCCCAGAAGTCAGAACAGGCAGAACAGTCGTAAGATAAAGGACCAAACATTTCTGTTGAAATTACTACATAATATTATTGACTCTCCAATTCTTCTTAACATCATTAACTTCCGATGTCCAAGACAATCTTCGCGAATTAAATCTTTATTTTATTTAAATACTACACGTACCAAATATGCACAAAATGCCTTTATTCATCGTTCTTGTTTATTATATAACAAAGAATACTGTTCAATTGATTACTTTACGGGTTCGTTACAGAAGTTAACAAATTAAGAAAATGACCTAGTTTAAATTATTTTTATTTGTATTAAATTATATTTGCGACTCTTTATTAACTATAATTATGTAATTATTACTAAAACATTAATTATTTTCTATTCATATGATTATTATTTTATTTACTGTTAATTTTTTTTTAATTGTAATTAATTTGCTCGCATTATTCTATGTACTATTTAATTGTGGAAACTTTATTGGTCAATGATTTATATTTTATGTTTTGTTTTTTAATTTGTATCAATTTGTACTGTTTGTTTCCCAAATAAATAAAAAATAAAAAAAATAAAATAAAAAAATAAAACCTCTCAATGTGCAGCCGTACTTGCTAACCACTAGACTACCGAGGCAGTTATCTAGGCTAAACTAGTATATCCTGACTCACTTTGGATGAAACGGTTAGGCGTAGGACAACCCAGTTTGGTATGAAAACGGGTTTGGCCGGTAACGTATATAACGAATATTCTAAAACTCATCGAATTATGGAGGAACAATAATTTAAAATGTGTGCAAGCAGATAAATATTTTTTACATGTTAAAAACATAGCGCCATAATTATCTTTAGACAGACAAAGAGATATGAGCTTTGATTTCATTCGTAGCCTTTTGAATGACGCACCGCGTACTAAATAGCACTATCTCGCATCGCACCAACGTAGGTGGTCCTCATAATTCCACGCACGGACTAATGTGGTTACTATAAATTACACTTATACCACTGACTATTATAGACCTCATACTCATATATGTTTGTAGCAATATGGTTTATTAATTATTACTGTGGTATAGCTTTTCTTTAAATTAAATACCTATAACAATTAACTGAAATAAACATGGTTATTAGTTCTTACTAACAATAAGTGTATGTAAGAACTGTGGAACTGGAACTGAAATCGTACCACAAAATCCTTCTAGAAAAACATTGTATATGAGCAAACGCTACGCTAAACCTAGTGTCTAAAAACTGAGAAACAGATCAAATCATTCAGAATTTCAGTCAAACCTGTTGAACTGCTACGTATAACTGACACATATACAACACACACTCGCTTAAAAACTATCACATTTATAATATCAGTTACCTATACCTATCTATTATGTTAAAGTTTATATATGTGATCTGTGTATATGTTACTAGTTAGTTCGTTCACGCTGAAACGTTTGAATGAATTGGAATGGGAACACAGTGACATTATGACACTGAGGTAACACATATGCTACTTTTTTATTTGACACGCAGGGATGAACCTTTTTTTTGTTGGGAAATGCATTTACGCGTACCATCTGTATACTCGCCGTCTAGAAAAAGAAGTACTACCCACTAAAACCCAATAGTACCTCCACCGCCCCGACGGCAGGTCTGCCGAAGCAGACCACACAACCAAACGGCTTCTCCCACGATACACTCTGCTGTCAGAGAAGTACCAGGGGCAACCCGCCTGGCACACCGCCCACCGAAGTGGGCCACCTCTCAGTACGTCTGTTGACTTCGCACCCGTCTGGGCTGCCGGACGCTAATGAGCCCAACCACGACAAGGTGTACACAAGTGGGTAGGATGCAGGAACGAACCTGAACGAGGCGAAGGCAAATCGCTAATAATACCATAAATTAAAACCAAATAACATACTATTTTATTAACTCACTTGGGTATTAGGAGATATCCTTGCAGTAACAGTGGTGAGAAGGCAGGCGGCAGCTGCGCGCACCGTGTTCGCTTCGCCGGCACGGGAAAATATTCCCAATGCAAATTGACTTAAGGATTCCTCATTTATGCCTAAAACAATATTAAAAAATTAACTGTTTTAATACAATATCAGGAAAAAATATTACTAGTAGGCTGATATTAGTTTTTCATAGGTATATGTATATTATGTAAATATAAAAAAAATGTAAGTTATATTTTATTTAATTATAAAAGTTTGAGAATAAGAAAGACCATTCGTCCAAAGTTGCTATTTACAAAATTTAATTACTTGGAAAAAATAAACATGAAGTCTTTAACCTGTAGTTTTTATTTTTTTAAATATAAATATGACATTAAAATATATATGTAGATAAACTCAGTAGATTATTAGTTGGAACCAGCCAGCCAGCTCCTTAATTATAGCTCATATATTTTTCATAAAATAACATGATATTTGACGACCACTAATCTGATTTCTATTGTGATCACAGCCATTTTCATAGCCGACGTTCCAAAAATCGCGTATAAGATGCTAATGAACTTAACAAAAAAAATTGTAAAATGAGGCTTATATAAAGCTAAGTAATTAATTTTCCCGGGAGGAATACTACAGTAGTCTTTATTTTTAAAGACCTTTATCTGACTATAAATCGTTAAAGTTTGCGTGAAAAGACGGATGGACAAAAAGAGCGATAAATAATCACACATAAACACTTCAACTTTATTTACATTTTTAATTTGATATAAATATATCTGTATCTATCCTGTTTGCTTATCATACATGGGGCAATATGAAATTATTTATTATAATTTCTTCCTTTTTATTATATATTCCTTCATCCTTTATAACCGACTTCAAAAAGAAACATTACTTGGGATAAACCCCACCAACTTGCCAAGTCTGGACTGAGAATGTCGTGACAAAATAATCCACTAACTATATTTAGATCGATCCGGGACTCAAAACTAAGACCTCCGGATATGCAGGCGTACATGCTAGCCACTAAACCATCGAGGCAGTATACATACATACATAAAATATGTAAGAGCACTCACTCTGTAGCAGGTGGGGCAGGAGGTGCGCGTGGTGCGCGAGCGCGGCGGCGGCGTGCAGCGCGGCGGCGCGCAGTGCGGGGCGCGCGGCCGCCGCGCACGCGCCCACCGCGCACATCGCCTTGCCGCCCCACGCATCACTCCACCTCTTCACCAAACAAACGTCTAAAGTTAATTAAAATTTTTAACAGACTTACAAAAAGGAGAAGGTTCTCAATTCGTCGGAATCGTTCACCGATTACTCGAAGACGCCTGAACCGATTTGGAAATTTTATTTTGTTTCGAAGGGTATACTTCCCAGATTTTCTAAAAATCAACAATATTTTTTTAAATAAATTGCTTTAATCGAATATGTTATTAAAAAAACTTTCTTCTTACAAATTACCTGCTTATCTTTTTTGTATGCTTCTTTATCATAGTCTACACTAAAAATGAAAAAATAAAAACTTAAAAAAAAACGAGATCCAGACACTAAAATGTTTCATGCCTGGAAGTCGGTTTTTATATTTTTTTAACAAGTTTTTATTTTTATCGAGCTGTCAAAACACGAACGCCCGTAGATTTTGTACCTCTAGCTCCCGTTTCGACTTCACATTCCCATCCACTGCACACACAGCTACACCATGCATCGCACCACGTTCGAACTAGAGAAACGTTTAAAGATAATTGAGAGAGTTAACCCTACAAACAATTGATGCCCCGTGCCCAAAGGCCGCGCACACACTACATACATTGCCTTGCCGCCCCACTTGTCATGTCATAAGTCATGTCATCTTTGTACCAGACAAACACTCCATTATCTGACTGCCTCAGAAGAGCACATATATACTACATTCAGCCATCTTTAATGTCATGTCCAGCTGAGCCTTCCTTCAATATGAGAGGGTCAGGCCATAATCCACAAGGCTGGTCAAGAGCGGATTGGATGGATGATCTTCATATAAACCTACCAAGCCTTAATAGGATTATTTATCTATGGCGTATGCTAATCCAAAAGACGGGAAACAAAAAAAAGATTATTGGCTATCACCCGCGATTGTGTCCATGTGTATATTTTATAAGTCTGAATCCACTAAATCAAACTCAAACACAACTCAAACTGTATCTTTAAATCCACACCACAGATTATTGATTTGAATGACTATAATAGCAAAAGTCATTAAATTTCTCCCTCAAATAAGGCTCGATTAAACAGGAGACAGACAAACATTTTACACTCACATTATGTAGCTATTTATATCTAAGTATTTAAAACTTACCCAACGTAAGCCGCTAGTCTTAATTAAAGCATTGTTGTGAATTTAATTTGATTAATATAGTATAGTATACGCACTGCAGACATGTCGACTCTGCACTTACACTTAATATTTATAACTTATAAGTAGATACACTATATGATATTATGTATTACGGTATCAATAGATAAAATGAGAGATAGACATCGACCTCCAAAGTAAATAATACGTTAAAAATAACGCAAGATTGTATCAACATTGATTAAAAATGGAAAAAGTTCATTGACCGTCATTATTTTTTACGATATATAATGGACATAGTTTTGCATCATAACTTACATATACATTTTACTGTTTATACATACATTTAGACAAAATATTTAGTAAATAAAACTATCTTTTCGGATTTTTAATGGGTTTTATTTTGATTTTTGTTTTCCTACGTTTCGGACGCTTTACAGCAGTCATGGTCACAAGAGAAACTCCCATTAAAATAAATCAAAAAGAAGATTTTGTTGTTTTAGCCATGACATAACATTTTTATAATGGATAAATCTAAAATACTTGTATTACATGTTATCATTATTCCTTTATCTTAAATGTGAGCAACTGTGATATTTGCGCAAAATGCCAATAAGTCAAGTGAGATAATAATAAATAATAATGCATTCTAAATGAGTTTTGACTGAAAGGTGCAAGCGTATAAACTTAAAAATAAGATTATTAACGTCATACGTACATACATATACATTTACATATAACATTCTGTAACAAATTTGTGTATCATTAAAAATACTGTTCAGTTAAATCTATAATTAAGAATTAACAAGGTTCGCCGGAAAAACTCTCATACTAAGATTTCTATTATTATTTATAAAAGTTTATAGACATATACTACCAATTGTAGAAAATCTATTCGCAATCTAATCTTAGTTCAATTCTCGAGATTGTCAAATATATGATATTTATCGTTTCCACTTCCCATCAATATAACGACATTTCGTACTCATACTTGTATTTCTATTGTAAATTCTTATAAAACAAGTTGCTAAAGCAAATTCTGGAAAGTAAGCAATAAACGTGTATGTTAGTAAATCGTATGATATACACACCTGAACTGGTATGGACTGTTGCTGAATTAGTTTCAGTAAAGCGAGCAATGCAAGCATTGCGTCGAGCCGACAGGCCTGTCCTTTTCGGCCCGCGCCGGACGCGCATCCGCTTAAAGCGTTCGTCATCACTCTTAAGCTTTGCACTAGAGTGTCTTCAGATATTCTACAATACTGAGAATACACTGCGTATCTGATACAACGTATCAGCTCGTTGAGATATCCTGGAATATACGCAATATTAGCAACAAATGACTGAAAGCGGTCGTAATAACTTGTTTTATTACTGCGATAATAATTACTAGGAAAATCATTAGATCATCTGTATTTATTGGTCGTAATATTGTAAGTTCAAAATGTGTGCCCTTTCAAGTATAATTTTATGTACTCTTTATAAGTTTTATAACAGTTTTCCTCTTTTGGCTCTTTCCTCATAGAAATTCACTTCGCGAAATACCATATATATACATAATACTATACATATGTAAAAATCTAGAACGGCTAGTATTTTTTTAATAAAAAATTGCTTTGATTGAATCGTACCAATTAAATTTATAAAAATATGTCTTAAAGATGTATAGATTATTTGAAGAAGAATTATCTCTTCACATTTGCATATAATTAACATAATTAGCGATAAGATGCAAAGTTTTCAAACCGACAAGTTGTCAAACATATGGTTAATAACTGTCTGTAGAAAATGAAAAACAAGTGTTCATTACCCTTCCTGTAGCATTTTATAAAATAAGTGAATTTGTACCTAATTATACGGCTGTCATTACTGATAAATACGATGACTTATTTATTTAAAACTTAAAATAGTTCAATTGTTTATTAAATTATATTAATCCCTCCACGACCGTACGAAACTGTATTACGATACCACAGTATTCCCCCAAAACAAGAAAAGTCTTATAGAACGCGAGTCGCTAACCAGAATTATTATTAAAGTCTCAAAAGTCAACATCTATTAGTGATAATTATATTAGAAAATCAAATAATAGTGAATCAAAATAAACAGAATGTTAACTTTTACTCAAGGGATATTTCAATATTATGAAACCACCGGTAGGTAGGTAATGTATCTATACCAATCAAAAAACTCTGACATCGACATTTTTCTAAAAACGCAGAAATTTTGTTCTTACAGTGCTACAAGGATCTTTTGGCGCGTGGCCGAAATCGGAACTAACAGACAAGATGGCGGATCATACAGCTGGAAAATGTTGGCAGAATGATGATGAAGGTATTGGCTAATTAATTAAATATCTTGAAATATTAATGAGTAATATATTTTTAAATCTTTTTTGACTAATTTCATATGTATTTATCTATTATTAATATTTATTCTAAGACTCTACTCTGCTTGTATTATAGTTGTTTTATAGTTCAAAAATTCAATTTCAGATGGAGTATTAGAGCCCATCTCTAAAGGACAAAGATTTATTATTGTTCATGCCGGAGGTAATCAAGGCTTTGTGAACAATGCTTGTTTGGTTTTTAAATCACAAACAAAGAGTGGTGATTACCATGGAGACATGAATAACACAATTTTTAATAAATGGGTTTTAGAAAAGTTGGCTCCCAATTTGATGGAGCCCAGTCTAATTATAATGGACAATGCTCCATATCATAACACACGAATTAATAAACACCCAAACACAAGCACAAGAAAAAATGAAATAATTGAGTGGTTAAGAATAAATAATTTTGAATATTCAGAAGAATATACTAGACCACAACTATTAGAAATTGTAAATAAAAACAAACCCGAACCAGTGTATTCCGTCGATGCTATTTTAACAGGACTGGGTCACAAGGTAATTATAGCTTGAATGCTCTACTAGACCCGTTGAGGCACTAATAAAGTGTCTTCTTATTATGCTATTTTTTAAAACAATATTTTAAGTATGGGTGAGTAAACTATTTCATTTTGCTTCTTTTTTTTCTCAGATATTGCGTTTACCACCTTATCATTGTGATCTTAATCCCATTAAAATGGTCTGGGCATCCATGAAACGAAAAGTAGCCGAGATAAATATTGGAAAGCCATCCAATCAAATGCCAGAAATGGTACAGAATGCTTTTGATTCCATTCTTGTCGATGAATGGCGCAATCATTGCGCCCATGTCAAGAAAATAGAAAAAGAGTATCAAAAAAAAGATGGATATTTGGACGAACCTTTTTTCATACAATTATGCTCTGAGAGTGAAGAAAGCAGTGACGATGATGATTCTCACGATGAAGATGAGGAAAGCTTTAGTAGTATGCAAGCTCTTGACATAGTTCATGCAGAACATAGTTACAGCAAAAAAAATTAATGTTTTATTTATTTATATTAATTAAATAATTTGTATATGAAGTCATTAAATTTCATTCACTTTTAATTTTATTTTTTACATTTCCTAAGTTAAATTGAATTACGGAATATAAAGATAGAGTTTTTAAAAGAATTCCCTAAAACTAAGTAGATTTTATTAGCTTGTAACCCTAATTTCACACCAACGCCCTCATGTCACTGTCATGTAAGTGCCAAAAGATCCTTGTAGCACTGTAGCTAATTTGAACCATTCTGAAAGTACCTATAAGGGTAATATTGTTGTCAACCCCCGACGAGGGCCCAAAATAGGCATCAAAAATTTATTTTTAAAATAATTCCAAAATGTTAAAAAAAACGTTAGATAAATACATTTCAAATAAAAGTAGTAGAGCTTAAAATTCTACGTAGAAATTTTTCATACTTTTTGTGACAAATAATATTAAAATTTAAATTGAAAATTGTTAAAAATGCTTAAAAAAATCAGAAAATTATAATGTTACGCTAAAGCGCCGAATTTTCAATTCAATACAGTTTGAAGAATACTTAAGAAAATTAGAAAAACGACTATTTCAATGCTTATTTGATTGGGCTACTATGTGTGCTTTTTCTTTATTACAGACAGAAATTTGACAGAAGACATACAAATTTTAATGGTTTTAATTAAGATCTGTTATAGGGTAAAGAAAATAAGATACTCATACATTATTATCTATAAAAAAAACTGAAAGTCATAAGTAGATATTTTGCTTAGTTGAGTATCGATTAATTTTTGTTTTACTTTTATTCCTAAAATATAAAACAAGATAAACATTCTTATCTCTATTATATAGTCAATACAATAAAATCATTATCGGCTCTTAACACTTTAAATTCATAGTTTTATACGAGCAAATAAAATAAACATAATTTAAAAAAACCGATAGCACCCTTTTTGACCAACTGGAATGAATATATGGGACTCAACAAAACAAATCAAATAGGCCCCCATATATTTTATTAATAGCCATTGAAGTATTCAACTATCTACTTCCTGGCTTTATCAATAGATCAGCTTCATATTGCCAAACTATTTAATACAACTAGATCATTGCCATCAACATACAAACTAATAAAGTCCATTCCCATCCTCCATGATACTCACCGAGAACATGAAAATTCTTCAAATCAATTCTGTCTAAGCACGTAAATAATATCTTCAACAAACTCTCCATTTTACTGCTGCTATAATTCCCTCGATGTTCTACCAATAATATACATCGTAACACCACTTTGACTATGTATATGCGTAACTGGGTCACTTCTATATCGTCGCAGGCTGTCTGTTGCGGGTACAGACGGTCACGGCTCAATAGAGATATTATGACCGCATCGTTCCCAATAAATGACGACTGAATCCAGGACATTGCGTTATCTTGGTAAAGAAATCATTGTATTAGAATATTATTAAAATTAAAATATAAAATATTCAGTTAAATTAATAAATATCAATTCCCTTACGCTATTTGTACTTATAAATAAAATTCAAGGTGATATCTATGATTACAAAGTAGTGGGTAGTTTTTAATCACCGACATCAAACCCATTTCACGTTCTTATGATAATTTGCTAAATACCAAAGCCCTAACAACCTGTGGGTATTTTTTTTATTCAGCCCTTTTTAACGTCCTATTGCTGCACACAAGTCTTCTTTTAATGCGAGACGGGAGAAGCTATCGTACACCTCGCTGGCCAAATGGCATTGTATGCAGGTTTTATCACGGTAGTTTTATTTTTTTATTTTTGACTATGTTTTTTTATAGGTCTGTCTGATTGTTCGTTCGTCACTGATATCAGACTTAACCGATTAGAGAGGAATAGTATAAAAATTGATAGAGAATAAAGAATTGATAAAAATTGATAGAGAAATTTTCTGCCAAGACAGTAAATGGATAGAGGATGTAATTTTTATGTTATTTTTTAACTTGCTTCAAACACTGTATTTTACATATTCGTGCAAATAGTAGTATACTTACCATCTCTAGGTGTATTGTCCATAAAAGCTACAATAAATTGTAACAACGAGATCAATAAAGTGGTGTCTCGCAAAGAAGCCGGCGGCGCGCTTAGGAACCGCCTTGTATGATGCCAGGGCAAATCTTCTAATTCCTTGCCGCTCGATGGTGAATATTGTATGAGATATGTATAGCTACGACATAAAACACAAGCATTTGAATTAGAACCAAGATACTCTTTCTATATTTTTAAACTAGCCACTCACCCTTGTCTCGCTCAGTTTCGTCCCTAGGTACGTTTTAACGCTTAGTATGGATTAGATTTTGTTTTTATTGTTTTTGATGTTTTAATAGTTATTCTGTTATTCGGGTTGAAGACAAATCCAACAAAACAAGGATCATAAAAATCGGTCTAGCCGTTCTCGAGTTATAAGTGTTGTTGTTACACCGACTTTGTTTTATATATATAAATTATTTTTGATGTTAATAAATATAAATGAATATGGAATATGAATGATGTATGGAACATCCAAATCTGCAAATAGGCATCGAAAATATTTTCGCTTCCCAAACTTTGATATTTATATTTATAATATTAATATAATAATAATTATAATGGACATTAGGGTCTTGCACGTAAAATACATACATACCACTCTAATAGATTCAACGCGTCATACACTTGTACGTGTGAGGTGGCGTTCTCTAAAGCCAACAAGAGGTTAGTACAAGAGTGGCGCAAGCTCGCTGCCCGCAGCAAGGCGAGGTCGCGCGGTGTGGGGGGTGCTGGGGATGCTGGGGATGCCGAGGGTGCTGCGGGTCCGGGGGGTGAGGTTCCGTGGGGAACAGAGACGAGCCGGCCGCCGCTATGGAGCCACCACCAACGGACGCGTATCGCGCTGCGCCACGCCTCGTCAGTTAACAGCCATTCTTTAGTAATGAAATCATAGAGATTTTTAATTAACTTGTTTAACTGTAATTTGTAGCATAAACAATAAAAACCTCCTTTGAACCTTTACCTTTTGTGAACTTTAAATTTATTTTTTTTACTAGATTTTCTGCCTGCGGCTTCACTTGCATGTAGAAAATGTGGTTTTCATTTTTAACTTTCTAAGACAATACTATATCCGTATTCTATACATATAATAAAATTGTAACTAAGCCGAATCTGTAAATTAAATATTTTTTGGAAAATCTTATTGAAATAAACATTATTATCGATACAGAGGCCGAATCTAAAGTTTTCAAAATTTTTGTCTGTCTGTCTGTTACCGCATCACGGAAAACCCACTGGAGGGATTTTAATGAAATTTGGTATGATGATAGCTGGTTATCCGGGTCAACATATAGGATACTTTTTACCGCGATAAAATATCTCATTTCTGAGAAAAAACACAAAACTACAATGTAAGAGTATACTTATATATAAACCTAAAAACTTGGTTTTTGGTCATCTGAACACGGGCGAAACCGCAGGCAATGCTAGTAATATTGTAAATGTGAAAGTTTGCGATTATGGATGTTTTTTACTCTTTCCCGCCAGAACGGCTCAACGGATCTGGATGAATTTGGCGCAGATAGATTATAGTCTGGAATAACACATAGGCTACTTTTTATCCCGGAAAAATGTACGGTTCCGTGGGATAGGTTTAGTTTATTAATAATTAAATCTAAAGTACAAAAACATTGATATTGTAATATTTCTATCATCGAATCAAGTTTACCGGTGTTCATGACACTATACAGTAACTAACACCTAAACACCTTCCCAACCTAACATAAACAAAAAACACTTAATTATTACTCACCTACAGCTGAATGTTCAACGTTAGGGCTAGTAGTCCAGTAACTATTGGCTATAAAGGGCAGACAGGTCCTGTGCGTGACAACGGCAGGCAGCGCGGGCACCTCGCGCCGCGACGCCAGCTCTCGCAGAGCGAACCCCGCCCACACTACCAGTGACAGCACTTGGGCAGCCATCACTACACAGTCCTCGTTCGCTGGGAATATCAGTATCACTGGAACATCATTTGTTTGGGTTATTAGATGGAATGAGAATAGTTTATTACCGTGCTTGATTGAGAGTATTATCACTCGCCAGAACTGGAAAACTACGGGTACTTATTATAATAATCAAACTTAGGGCATGTGCACACAGCGATTTTTTCATTTGTATCAATTCGAAGGCAAACAATATAATTTATTAAATTTTTATTTTTAATCTAATGATGCACGTTCTACATAAGTCCATGGTATAGATAAGACTTTAAGAGTGTCACAAAGCTAAGCAAAGAAAAAAAATACGTTTTAAAATAATAAAAAATAGAGAAAAAAAAAACAAATAATTCCCATGTATACTGACCCCTTAATAATAGTAGCGGCAAGTCAGATATTTTTGCTAAATTATGCCGACTTTTGAAACATACACTATTTAGTACTGATACACAGCTAATTGCACATTCAGGAAAAGCAAGATAATCGTCCACCAACAGGGACAACCTGAAACAATAATTTAATATCAAATTAGGATAATAAAACAAACAAACAACGACCCTCGGTTTGACCAGTCTATTTAATTTTTACTTAATATGACACCTGAAAAGCATTTTCTTTTCTATTCAAATACTGCTACCTGTTTTTACTACTTTAGAAGTTGCATTTTAATAGAATATAAAATTAAACTATCTTTTCCGATTTTTTCGCCAATTTATTTTGATTTTTGGTTTGTCAGTCTCTCCCGTGACCATGATTGCTGTAAAGCATTCGAAACGTCGGGAACCAAAAATCAAAATAAATTCGCCAAAGAATCCGAAAAGATAGTTTTATTTAGAATATAAAAATACAAGCGTATATTATAATATGTAATTACATTTTGATATATTTGGATATTAACACGCAGCACCATCTAGTTCCATTGTAAGTGGTTGATAGTTGATACACTACACTTATGTAACTTTAAATACATACATATTATAAACACCTATAACTGGAGTACAAACATTCGTGCTCATCACAAATGAATGAATCCAGCGGAACTCAAACCCGCGACCGTTGGCACAGCAAGCAAGGCCACTACAAAATGAGCCAAACGTATCGTCAAATTAAAAAAATACCATGTAAAATAATTTAAAAGATTTTTTTAAATACATAAAACTATCTGTTCGGAATCCGAATCCGAACTTCGGATTATTTCGCGGGTTTATTTTGATTTTTTGGTTCCCGACGTTTCGAATGCTTTACAGCAATCATGGTCACGGAAGAGACTTTTTGTGTCTCCCCGTTTTATTTAAAATGTCAAATATTCGCGTAAATCTAAGAAAGTATCACATTTTTTTTTAATTTATCTTATCACTAGATCATAAAGGTAAAAATACTATGTTTACACAGAACACTGAGATAAACTCAGGTCACCAAACTACATAATAAATACAAAGAGAAATTGCTATTTTCATAGATTAAACCACATGGCCACTAAAATCTAATAGAAACAAATAAGTAAAAAATAGTAACATAGTAATACGTAAATCAGTTTTTTAAGTTTTATAATTAATATATATTTTAGTTTTAAGGTATTTATGTTATGGGCCTCTGTTTACATATTTAAGATAATTTTGTAAATATTGCCAGAAATAAATGATTAAATAAATAAAAAAAGTAAATCAAAAACCTATATTTGTCACATCATTGTAAATAACAATATAAAATAATAAAACTATAGATAAATACAAAGTAATATGATTTTAAAATATTTTAATCTTCATACCTGAGCAGAGAAATGATTAAATTAAGTCCATCATATTGTATGAACGTGTCATGCAACTCCTGCTGCCTCAGCAGCACGGCCAGCTGCTGCAGCGTGCTGCGGCGCAGGGACGGCTCCAGCGCGGGCTGCCGCGAGGCGCGACCTGTGTACTCTAGTGTAGCTTCATCTATTGTTAAGTCTTGTTTTAACACTTCCATTATTTGTATCAAGCCCGATGTCTGTAATTATGAAGATTACATTTTTATTGTATTAAGTACCTGGGCGACAGAGCTTTCCTCGGAGGTTTTGGCCAAAATTACAATTTTCTTTTTGATTTGGCTTAAAAACAAAAAAGAAACAAAATATTTGAATAAATAAAAAAACAACAAAAGTAATAACTTTGTATCCGACCGGGATATGAACCCGGACACCTGTGATTGTCCGCTTTGGCGAGCGTGCGAAATTAGTGAGGTCATATTTTGTGTGGAATAATGCGAAAGAAAACCGCAAGAAAACTCAAAAGCACGCGTTTTCCCAGACGTAAGACTAATCTAGATCGATTTTTCGCCATACTAGATTTCAGCGAAATCGTTAGAGCCGTTTCTGAGATCGCCGGTATAAATAAATATACAAGAATTGCTCGATTAAATACTAATATATTAGTTTTTTAGGATACGTAGTTTGACTAAGTCAAATGTTGGTGAAATCAGCGCCACTACGATTTTGTTGAGGCAGTGGTAGCCCTCGCTTGGCGCGCGCTCGCTTGTGACACCGAGTGAAGCGGGTTCAAAGCCCGAGTCTCGTATTTCTGATATTTTCATGTGCGAATCATTTCCAACATTTCCAACATGATTATCTATCTATAGTCTTACGGTGAAGAAAAACATCTTGAGGAAACCTGCATGTTGAACATAGCAAGTGTTCGAAAGACATGTGAAACCAACCCGCACTTGGCCAGCGTGGTGGACTACAGCCTGTTCCCCGTGGTATTGTAGAGAGGTCCGTGCCCAGCTGCTGAATATTATAGCGGCTAGATAGATTTACTAGCGATATTTTATCGTTAGAAATTCAGTTATAATAATGTAATAAGGAATATATCTTCTATATATACGAGTATATATATAAAATGAATCCCTATTTCACTTGGTCACGCCATCACGCGTGAACGGCTGGACCGATTTAACTATTTTTTTTTGTTGTGTTTGTTATTATCGGGAGAAGGTTCTTATGAAAGAAAAAAATTAAAATATTGCGCGGAAAATTATAAAACTTAAGAATACTTATTTAAGAATACTTAACAACCATATAATATATAAATAAAAATGAATGTTGGTAAGCGCATAACTCAAGAATGGCTGGACTAATTCGGCGATTTTTTTCCTTATGTTCCTTAAGGTCTACGGAAGGTTTTAATAAAGAGAAAAAATTAAAAATTTTAAATTAACGAAAAATAATTATATGGCTAACGCTGGCTAATAACTATTTGTATCTATTTAAAACGTACCTAGCGACGAACGAACCCGAGCAAAGCGAGGGTGAGCCGCTAGTGAGAAATATTTGAATTAATTTTAAATTTCATTTTAATTGATTTTGTGTTCTGTTTATTCGGAACCAACTTCTGATTTATAAATTTATTATAATATAGAGAATATCAAGATTGTTAAAATCTTGCTTAAATTTTAATTAGTTTTCATGATTATATATTATCTGAAGCTTTTTTACAATTTTACATTTGTAAGTTTAAGCACACAACAACAACATACAAAAAATAAGAACATCATGTAATACCTGTGGATTTTTCGAAGGGGAACTAGATTGATCGATATTGAAATCTTGGGGCTTGATGCGTCGCAACGCGTTCATTATTACATCAGTACGCAAAACCTCTCGAGGAGGCAAATACTTGCTGTCATCTATATATAGAAATTACGAAACAGTTAATAAAACCTTAAACTTTTAAAAATATCTTTAGTAATAAGAATATAGGAAATATATAATAATAATGAGAAATATTTGAACACCAGCGGAATTTGAACATTTGAACTCTAGGAAAACAAAAACTGACCTATCCCACGGGAACCGTACATTTACCGGGATAAAAAGTAGCCTATGTGTTATTACAGACTATAATCTATCTCTGTGCCACATTTCAACAGGGTTCGTTTAGCAGTTCTGCCGTGAAAGAGTACAAACATACATACTCACAAACTTTCACATTTATAATATTAATACGGATTCACAAGTCACTAATTCACATTACTTACGTCTAAGTGTAAAATAACAAAAAAAAACTCTAGTTTTACAGTAAATATTTCGATTATTACTCACATTAACTACGCTAACGGCTCAACAAACTTTAGAGGATATTTTTATGGAAGCAAATGAAGTCACGGGCAAAAAGTAATAAAAATTATCTACACAGCAGCAGATATTATAACATCAACTCGTGTAAGCCCACTGCCCAGGCACAAATGCACTCTATTCCTGTCACTCTCATACTCCGGTGGGACGACAATACGACACCACCGGTGAGATTTCAGGACTGACGTGACATGCGCTCTTCGAGACACGGGACTATATGACTGGCAGCTTCCCACCTCTGGGTTAATCTTAGCAGAGAAATCCAATAACTATATATGTTTATTCTAGACCCAGGACACGAACCCATGACCCCCGGTTATGCACTTATATACATGAATCACTAGTATATAATATATAAAAATAACAATTACCCAGAAGACGGCAAACAGAATGTGCCGCATCCAACTGTACGGGGGCGCAGTTGACGAACAGCAAGCGAACGAGCCCCGCGACCCTTTCCGCGTTGGACACGCCCATACACTCCACTATGTCCGCCTCTAACGATTTACAGATGGCTTTACCTGAGAAGGGAAATCGTTTTATCTATGTTAAAACAAAAATAAAAAAAACATTTCCTGAATATAAATGACACTTTAAGAGTTTCTAAAGTAGAGAGGAAAACTTAACCATCTTTAAAGAAATAGCAGGTATGTATCAAATTCGATTGTATTATTTTTTTTAGCTTATTGCAAAAATATTTAAAATATAACCATTATTAACTAAAAATATATATCAACTAAAATCACTTTGATGAACCTTTCAATATTCCTCTCAAAACGATCAAACATTTTATTGAATTTCCCAACCTATAAATATCGCTAAAATATACATAAAAAACATACATCCAAAAGGACTACCTCCTCATCATGCAAAGTCGGTAAAAACGCAACTATGTGTACCGAGCGTGGTGTCGTGCGCGGCGTGCGCGTGCAGCAGCGGCAGCGCCGGCAGCAGGCTCGCCAGCAGCCGCCACCAGCAGCCCTCGCTCAGCGCCAGCCTGCCGCGCAGCACGTACAGCATTATCTCATTGGCATTATACTCTACCTACAATCATGTTTTAAAAAGATAAAATTTACACAATTAATTTACTAAGACTAGAGTTATAAAAAAAAATTATACTTAAAACTTGTTCTGGATTACTTTTTTAAACTTTTACTTTGATTTAATTTTGATCAAAAAGTATTTTTCATATTAGAATAACATCACAAAACACGTTGTCAATATTAAAAATTAAAAGTATGAGTTATAATTCGTTTCTTTTTCCATATAGAACCTAATATCCGATTATAAATATCCACTACCTATTACATATAGAAAAACAAAAATTCACCTCTTTTTCAGTTGAAGACAATCCATGGCAACATATCTCAGTTAGAATTCCGACATCACAAATCAATGTCAAGCATTTTTCATTGTCAGCTTGATTTACTTCATCACCCATCAATGTTGTTCTAACCATGTCAGCTAACATTTTATAGAAAGTGGCTTGTACCCATGCCAAATTGTGAGCCATTAGAGTTAAACAAATACTCCTTGCTATCGACCAATTGTCATCATTCATGTTGAAATCTTTTAGCTTTTTCAGTAAAATCGTTCCTATATCTCTTAAGTACTTCTCACTCAGATTAATATATAGAATCGGAAGACCATTTTTTATACAGTTCAGAATAGTGTCAGGCGCTCGATTAGTGTCTTTTATTTTCATGAATTGCATAGCGTGGTCCATACTGACGAACAATTTACTAAGTTCTTTGTATCTGCTTTTATACTCTTTATCAATAGATGATTTCGCGTTCTAGGGTAAAAAATATATTAAAAGAATAGTTCTATACATCAAAATCACTATTAATTGATAATAATTCAAAATAAACTTCAAAACCATTAAACAAATTTAAAGAATAAAATCCATACATTAATATAAGATTTGTGAAATAAATTGATTGTTTTAACAACATATACTTTGAGTTTCATAAATCATTCTTATGTAAGTAAAGTCGACTTAACCTAACCTTAAAGGAAATACATATAAATCCCAAAAAATATTCAATTAAAAATAACTTACAAATAAAACAGAAGCAATCCTTTTGCTGATTTCAGGATACATAAGCTCTAAAGCAGGGTCGATGTGAGCCGCTTGTAAGGCAGCCACCAAGGCGGTAGGCGGCAGAGCCGACTCTCTCGCCCAATGTAACAGTCTCTCCCCACAGGGGACGAGACGAAGCCATGCCACCCTATAATGTGTACGGTCAGGCTCTTGGGTGAATGATGTTCTGGAAATTAAATGATAAGCTGTGTTGTAATAACTTTTATTAATGTCTAAAATATTAACTAACAAGAAAATCAAACAATCTAGATTTATTCTTCAATATATTTATTTGTATCAATAATCTTTTTATTAACTTTATTATCCTGTGATCTGTCTATATGACTTTTAATTAGAGATTATGTATTTGATTAGGTTGTGCATGGAACAATATCATGCCATTCACATGCCCAATTATTTTTCATATTTTTTTGGAATGGTATCAATTATCATGTAACAAAAAAATTAACAAGTGTTTATGAATATGGATGTGAGAAAGTTAAAATGTTTTAGGTCAGTTTTTATTGAATTCTAAAATTATAATTTACTTAAAACTTATAACTTTATAAATATTAATAATTGCTTAAACATACCGATACTTCATTGTGAGTTCACCCAACATGCGCATGGCCATACAAGACTTGTGAGCTATATCCCTGTGGGTTTTGGTCATGTGGTCAGCAGACCAAAAACGTTCCGTCACACAATCCAATAACAGTATGATGAGACTTTCAACTAGACACAGGCAAATATTTAACTCCTTCTGTAATATAATATTTACTGGTGCTTAATAAGTTTATAAGGAATAATTGAGCCCTAAAAGATAAAGTTAACTTGTGTGGTAAGCCAGTATGTGTATGACAGTCGGTCAATGTAGTGTTTTACAATTATTATTTTTTTATATTATATGTATATACTATAATTTATTGCATTTAAATTAAATACAGTAATAACAATATATTTTTTGTTTGCAAAGGTGAGTTTTATCATATTAAGCCCTTTTTAACGTGCCACTGCTGAGCACAGGCATCCCTTCAATAAGAGGGAGATCAGGCCATAATCCACCACGCTGGCCAAGTGCGGGTTTCACATGTCTTTTGAAAACTTACTAAGTTCAGACATGCAGGTTTCCTCACAATGTTTTCCTTAATCGTTAAGAAAAGTGGTAATCATGTTGGACATGATTCGCACATGAAAATATCAGAGGTGCGAGACCTTGGATTTGAACTCGGTTCACTCGGTTTCCCAAGCGAGCGCGTTACCACTGGGCTCCCACTATGGAGTATATTGTAAAAAATTTACTTTACCACGCGCAGGTATAAAAATGAGCATCACGGTTATAAAAGATATGTAGTATTATATAACATAATACTAACGACTTACCCTCTCTTCGCTCGGGTGCGTCCCTAGGTACCTAACATTAGCCGATAAAGTAATGCAACTGACGTTTTTATAGGTATAAAATTAGTCTATAGCCGCTCTCAGCGGTAATATACGGTGGCACATTTAGATAGTACCCCCCCCCCCCTACCCTCCCTACATAAAAACTTACAAACTTTACCTATTTATAATATTAATGTGGATTATCAGTAGGTTCATTACCATATCCAAAATATCACTTTCTTGATTCATATCAACTAGCACCACACTTCGAATCATAATAGTAAGAATAGTGTGTAATGTTTCTAACGCATATAAAGGTGCTGGTAGTTGCCTCAAGGGTACAAGACCATCTTCTTGTGGCAAATGAGACAAGCTCGCAAACTGTTCCAGTTCTGCATTTACATTGTCTTCGCAATTTCTGTTATCATCTGCAATCTAATCAACATTGATAATTAATATATAAATGGTAATATGGAACACTGTTAACATAACAATCACATATAAAAAAATGCTAAAAATCCATTACATACATCATGAACTTATTTTATGCAGCGCCATCTATTGTTAAATACTTTAAGTAAGCCTTTGAAGGAAATCAGGTACTGCTTGTTCTGGCTCTTCAAATTGTATTTCAATTTACCCAATAATCGAAAGATAGAGCACAGCACATTCACATTCATAATATAAATGTGACAGTTTATGAGGATGGATGGATGGATGTTTGTTACTCTTTCACGCAAGAATGGCTGTACGTACGGATCTGGATGAAATTTGGCACAGAGATAGTCTGGAATAACAAATAGGTTACTTTTTATCCCAGAAAAATGTAGTTTCTGTGGGATAGATTTGTTATGTCTAGGGATGAACCGGAAGCGAAGCGAGAGTGAGTCGCTAGTATACATATATAGTTCTTTGTTTTGCCATACATTATTTATAATTTTTGACTGACCTTAATTGCAGAATCAACTTTCAAATTTTTTTTGAGAATTTTATCTTATTTTTTTATTTGCATGCATGCAAAGTTTAAGCTAATATACCTTATATGATTGGCAGACAAAATCCAAGGAAAATAAAGTGTAAAATCTCGAATGTAGTGACTGAGTTATGCATAGAAGAGTCTGTAGTGCTTCAGCTGGATGCCCACCACATTGTCCATCAGCAATTGCCAATAATGTCTACAAATATAGAAAAATCATCAATATTATAAAAATGAACACTCAATTTAAAAATACTACTAAATACTAGTGTCCGACCGAAGGTCGATTTCTGGCCGAAGCCGGTTATTTTCCTGTCGCCACAACCTTCGGCCGAAGCCGAAGACTTAAAAGCTCTAAGGAAAATTATTACACAAGCTACAATTAATAATATAAATGACTTTATAACTTTAATATTGAATGTTTATATTGACTATATAATATAGAAAAGGAATTTTAAATCATATCTAGAAATTGATTTAGAGATGATAAAAAAAACACCATGCAATTATTTGTCAAAAATAATCATTTTGAAAAAATGTGAATTACAACATTTATTTATTAAAGTATATTTAACAATCACAATCAGATCGATCAATCAGTCTTTGTTTTTCTCGACTAGTGCGAAACAAGACTAACAAATAAACAAACATCGTCGCCCTCTCGCTCATTCATTCGTAACCGTTCATTCAATTTCGAAGTTTAGCTAAAGGTGGTTTTTTTGGCCGAAGGTGGCCGAAGCCGGAGTTTCGGTCGGACACTACTACATATATATTTTTAAATTATTTGCAAGATAGGCATTATTTTTAAGATAGCCAATAACCTCCATCAATTTGCAATGTACTTTATATAGCCTATTTATTTAAGTACTTCCTATACTTTGGCCAAAAAACCTCAATAACATTCAAACTCAATGAATTGTGGTCAAAATTCAACCATGGGCCAAAAACATGTTTTTCTCAAACTGCAACCTACATGACCCAACTAAATCAACTTGAAGATTTTACTTGTAGAGTCCTGGCTGCATGATTAGATCAGATCAGTAACAACTATTGCATTATCATCTGATTCCACATACTTTTAAAGTTTCAAATCAATGTGACAGTTAGAAGTGAATAAAAACTATTAACAACATTTTAATACTAAATAATTACAAAAGCATGTTATGTACAAGGTATTCTATATCACCTCATGCATGATGTTGTAATTTAACACCTCCAGGTAAATTTCTAAGAAATTATTTAAAATTCTAAGAAATCTATTCTTAACTGACACGTCGGCGTGTCCAAGGTCATGGAGGGATTATTCTGTATAGGTCATTAACATTAAATTTGTTTTGTCCTAACTTCCATATCAACATAATATAATATGATTAGTTATCTTACTTTTACTATTGTGGGTCTATTCAAGAATATTTCCACGGGAAAATCCCTTAAAAATACATTTCGTATAAATCTGCAACACCTTCTAGTAGATTTCAAGACTTTTAGTGAATCACCTATTAAAATGATTGTTTTTAAATCTGATGAACTTAGTTCTACCCAAGGATATAATAAGATAACTATACCATCTTTAGTTGACCTGAAAAGCGAAAAAAGGTATTATTAGAAAAGGCTGTTAATACATATTATCTATAAAATAATTACAATTGACATCCTTTGGAAATCCTCATATACCTACTGAACTTGTAAAGTCACACCACACAAGTAAAGTAAATATCTCTATACTTTACAACAGTCTACTACGATTAAAACAAGTTTTAATTATTTATGAATTAGTATGTGTGATTGTTTACAGTATTATTTTGAATACAAGCAACTTAAGTCACCTTTATCATACTGTAATTGAACTAAAAAATCAAAAGGTTAAAAATTAAATTGTAAAGTACTATAGTTTGTTTACTTACTCATCATTTACATTTATTTTAGCAACATTTGCCACAAAAGATTCTTCAGATGAATTTTCAGTTATATTATAGTAGCAATTGCTTGATGCATTAGTACAAGAACTAAAAAATAAAACTTAAATACAAAATTTGATTGAAAATATAATTATTGTATTTCACTTAACAAATAAATATACAAAACCTTGTTTCTGAATTTAATTTGAGGGGTGGTACAGTTATATTCACTTGTGAATCTACAGTATTTAAAAAGTTTAGTGTTTCAACTAAATCTTCGAGGATTTCTAAGGCTTTACCTTTTATCTTATTTTTAATTTCATTCAGATTATTCAACATTTTATCAATACCAAATTCTTTAGCTATATAAGTTCCTGATTTAGTCTGTAAATAAAACATTGATATTATTGTCTAAAAAAAATCATAAAATACTAAACAATATAAAAAAATGAAAATATAATTTACCTTTACAGTTATAACTAAAAGTTCTAAGGCTTCCTGCTGCATAGATGGTTCCTGTGTGTCAAACCAAGCTAGAAGTGACTCAAGCAAGGTTCTAGTGCCAGCTAGTTCATCTTCTAGTTCCCATCCTAACCGAAATTTTGCCAATAATAATTGTAAAGCTCGCTCTCTTATTTCCTTCATGGGATGACCTTCAAACAAAAAAATATTGAAACTTAAATATTTATTTCAGGAAACAACTGTACTACACCAATGATTTTTTTACAAATTCAAATTATTTATTTATAACTTAAAGATATATTAAATTATTAATTTAAATCGCAATACCACAAATTTGGAAAGAAAACAATATCTATCCTTAATATTAATTAAATAAATAAAGTTATAAAACGAACACGTACTTAATTTACTTATATACAGAGGTAAAATGTCCGTGGAAGTCATTTTAAAACTAATTTTATTATAAAATGTAATCATTAGGTTTTCACATTTTTAAAATAAACGATTCTGTTAGACCGGTGTTTACAAAAGCAATATTATGATTTATGATATATTCTATTTTTCTCTATGGTTACATGATGTCAACCATAGATTAATGAAAGCATTGCCATCTTATGGCGAATTCCCGAAACTGTGGGAACTGGAAAATTTCATGATGATTGGAGATTTATTAAGAATTGGTGTTATGCGAGGAAACTGTGTGGATTTTGACGTAGTTTTCCAATTACCTAACCTAGATAATGTAAATAAAATTTTGATCATTGCCACTTTGTATGTCAAGAAAAAAACACTACTTATATTTTCTGCTACTGAGTTGGTATCCGTTAAGCGCATCACGCCAAAGCAGTATTTTTCAAAGTGCTTGAAAGTGCAGAGCGTTGCTGTAGTTGGAATATTCGAAGTTGAGCATTATATCGTATAATGCGCTTTAGTGCTGCAATTGGAAAACTATCTGAATGTCGATAGTCCAGGTAAGGTCAGAACACTTTTTCAAGACTATTTATTTTCAAGACTATAGTTTGTGTTTAGTTCACAAATTGGTGAATTTGACTTCGATTGTGGGGGATTTGATAAATTGGTATTGGCAACGCTGATGAATAATAAAGAAATGTCAACTGTCAACTTGTCAAATGTGAAAGTTGAAATAAGATCTTTGAGTTTGATTGAAAAAAAGTGACTAGCAGCCCCGGCCGAGCTCCATACAAGCGCATATTCATAAAACCGAAGGCGAATAAGACGAAGCGGGGCCGGGGGGGTCAAGATAGTCAAAGAAAGATTTTTCCCGATTTAACCATTATAAATTAAAAATATATGTTAATTAATATCTTATTATATTATAAAGTATACTTAAGTTAAATATGCTTAAAATGATTTTTTTTATAAATCATATGTGCTATATATTGATTTATATAATTATATTCTAAATGATTTTAACTATTATCGAATATCTTATTTTTTAATTATATTTCATATCAAACATAAAATATCTATTTGATTTATATTTTAGAGCTGTGTCATGATATTTGCCTTAATATGGGGACAGTTATGGCATAAATGGCAAGTCAAAATATGCTGTCACTTTCACGGCTATTGTATTTCTTTTGAGTCGCCACGCATCTCTTTCTAAGGGTATGACGTCATATGCGAATCTGGGAGAATTTACTTCGTAGTGATGTAAAAATCGGTATTCATTACGATTACGATTAAGTAGGGATGTATTTTATCGTAATGTTATCGGTATTCAACAACCGTTATCGGTTTTATAGTAAGGTTTTCATTTTTATGATATTAATTATAATTAGAAATAAAATACAAAGATAGGTTTCTCGTTTTTTTATTTTACTATTTTAATGCTACCACTAGTTCGGAAAAATGCCTCAGACCTGAGAAGAATTAGCAAGGACTGAGGTCCTTGACGGGATAACCTTTTTTTTCTTAACATTTATAATACATTGTTATTACAATAAAAGGACATTTTTATCAATTTAATACAAAATACAAAAAATATAAATTAGTACAACGATTTGGTATAAAATATTACAATGCAATAAAATTAGAAGTAACATAGAACAATAGTTTTTGTTAATAAGAATATCATATTAAGCGAGTAGTAGGTTTAATTGTAGGTATAAATTAAAATTTAGCTTTTGTTTGAAGTTTTTTCATCTATTTTATTTGTCATCCATGGTGACTAGTGAGGCCACTGAAAAGAAATGTTATTTTTATCTTAAACATAAATTGTTTTGAGTTTTAAGGAAGTAAGTAAAGGAGTATATAAAAGTAAAATCTTAAGTTAATACATGTCTAATAATATTGAATGTATTTCATTGCTTGCAGATGGCTGATATTAAATCACTTTTGAAAGAAGCAAGAAAACTAATTGATGATAAAAAGTATAAAGAAGCTCAAGAATGTTGTAAAAATATTCTACGAAAAGACAAACAGAATTATCTAGGATTGGTTTTACTTGGAAAATCGTTGCAGGATTCTGATCAGGCAGCATTAGCTTTTCAAAAAGCAATATCAACTAAAGCGGACCATCCTTTAGCTTGGCAAGGCTTAGCAAATTACTACGAAAAAAAGGAAGAAATCTCTGCCAAAAATAAACTTTTTGCCATATATTCTGAAATTTTAAAATTACAAGTAGAGGATGAAAAAGTTACTGAAATTATAAGTAAGCTAGGCCAACTAGGCTGCTTGTTAAAAAATAATGAGTCGATCAATATTCTTATTGATTATATGGATAAGAAACTTGATGAAAAAAATTATATAAATGCTGAAAAACAACTATTAGAGCTTTTGAAAGCAGATGTACAATGTAAAGATGAGGACATTCCAAGAGTAATAAAATATTTAACAGATATAATAAATAAAGAGGCAAATGATTCATTGCAAATATTGCTAGGTAAAGTAATATTACAGAAAAAAGATTTTATTAATGCTTTTCTGGAAGTAATCAAATTAAGTTTTTTTAAATCTAGTGTAGTATTTCGTGAATGGCTCTGTAAATTCTTATGTACTAAAATTATGCAAGACAATGCACTTGATGATTTTGATATTGACCAATACATTAATGAAATCACAGTAGGAATCAAAAATTCCAAGTATCCTGGGCTTTTAAAAAGTATGATATATTATAAAAAAGGTTTATATTTAGAGGCATATAAACAATGTGTGCCTTTAGTAAATTATCAAGAAGCTGATATCATTGAAGCAACATTTATTATAAAATGCACATTTATGTTAAAAAAATGGCCAGTTGCTCAAAAACTAGCAACAAATTTCTTAATGAAAGTAAGAGATTCAGATTTTACAATTACTCTTAAGAAATTTTTATTTCTTGCACTAGCAGAACAGCAAAAATGGAAGCAAGCAATATCTATTGCAAAGGAAATACCTTCTACTCATTTAGATGTCAAAGAGCATGCAATCCTTGCAAAATGTTATATAGAAAGCAATGAGAGTGCTGGAGATGTAATGAAAAATTTACAGACTACAGAATATTATACACAACTTGAAGCTCTGTCACTTATAAAACAAGAAAAATATAATGAGGCCATAACTTTACTAGAACAGTCTGAAGAAAATTCAATTAATTTGTTTTATATTGGAAAAGCATACTGGAAGTTGCAACAATATGATAAATGTTATGTATATTTGTTGAAAGCAGCCAAACTAAATGCTGAACATAGTGACACCTTTTTATACTTAGGAATTTATTATCAACAATATAAAGCAGATTACCATAAAGCAAGAAAATGCTATGAAAAAGCATATAGTCTTAATAGCACATATATTGAGACAATACAAAACCTAAGTGACATATATACCAGAATGGACCTGAAAGATGATAATTTTAATATATTATATAAAGCTTCCCAAAATGTTCAAATCAATCAGCCAATTAGTCAATGGATTCATTTTCGCTTGGGATTGCATTACATCAATAATAGAGAGTGGGAAAGTGCAATTTTACAGTTTCGCTCTGTAATCAAAAGTAATCACAATGATGTTATTGCTTTTGAGTGTTTAGCAGATGCTTATTATTCACGGGGTTCATATACTTCAGCATTAAAAGCTTACAATAAAGTCATATCAATGAATCCTAGCAAAACTCTACACTGTCTTTCAAAAATTGGCTATATTCATTCATTATTAACAGATTATGAAAATGCTATATCAGCATTTGAAAAAGTTTTGGAAATAGATAGTCACTCACTTTTGGCCCTAAAAGGAATTTCTGAAACCTGGATAAAAATTGCAAAGAAGAAATATACAGCTAAGTTATATGGTAGCGCAAGAGATACTGTACAGAATGCTATAAATTATTTGATCAAAGCATTATCAAAAGAGAAAAAGTTTTTATGTTTTTGGAATTTACTAGCAGATGCCTTAATGTTTATTACAAAATTGCCTGATCAGTACTGTTATATTTTCATGAAAAATGCTTTGAATGAAAGTGAAGAGATAGTAAGAAAAGATAAACTTGATATTTATCCACAAGTATTAGCATGTTATTCACATATAGCAAAACAAAAACAACAGTTTACTTCTTATGACTTAGCATCGACATATTTAAATTATTACCATGCAACAAAAAATATGGCTAACTGTCATATCGCATTTCATTTAACAGTAGCTAATATTAAATTAAAACCTTTAGCGTGGAGGAACTGGAACTTACTTGGAAAAATATGTATTTTCATGAAGAAATATTCTCTTGCTCAACATTGTTTTATAAAGGCATTATTAGTTACCCGAAAATGGTCTGTTGCACCAATTTGGTGTAATCTGGGGACACTTTATATAAAAGTCAAACAATATAAATTGGCTAATTATTGCTTTTGGCGTGGTCAATCAACTTTGCCTTCTTATCCACAGAGTTGGATTGGCCAAGCTTTAATAGCAGAAGTTATACGAGAAGAAGAAGCTATGGATCTTTTTAGACATGCATCCCGCTTAGGATATCATTCAGAGAGCGCTTTAGGCTATGCTGATTGGGTATGTCGCACTTTAAAAAGTTATGATCATGAAAAGGGTTCAGATTTTAAATACATTATTGATAGTTTACATGCCCTGCCTTATGCAATGGATTTATTAATATGGTTTTCTACATTTGAACAACATGATGCTTGTGTCTTCAACATTTTGGCTATTTTACAAGAAAGGAGTGGACTTCTTAACACAGCTTTACAAACCTACGAAAAAGCATTTAAATATGCAGAAGAAAACAAGAAAAACATAGTCTTATTAAATATTGGGAGAATATTTCTGAGACTAAATAAATATGATGAAGCTGTAAAAATATACAAATCTATTACTGAAGCTAGTCTTGATTCTGCATGTGGTTTAGCTCTTGCTCTATTTAAAAAAGGTCTTTATGAAGAGTCATATGCAGCTTATGATACTGCATTTCATTGGCTTTGTAATAATGAGGAGGATAAAGCTGATCTTCTTGTGGCTATGGCAGGAATTGTGTACATGTTTAAAGGATTGGACGATTCTAAAACTTTGCTATTTCATAGCATTCAAGTATCACAAAAGAAACCAAGCCCATATAGTTTATTTGCTATATGTTCTTTAGGAATTATCCACTCTGATCAGAGTTTATCAAAATTGGCTTTAAGTGAATTGCAAAAATATGAAAAGGTCAGTCAGTTTGGTTATGACATAGGTTTTTTGAAATCTTATTGTGCATCTGAAGATTTAAATCAAGCAATTAAAATATTGAGTAATTCTCTTGTAGACCATCCTAATAATTGCCAATTATGGTTTAGTATGGCGCAATATTGTCTAAAGGAGTCAAATACTAAAGCAAAAATTTCAAGTTGTTGTGCCCAAAGAGCTCTCAGTTCTGCCCATGATTTTGAAAATAAAAATAACTTGGCAAAAATACTAGCTACTGCAAGCATTGCTGAATACCTTGCAGGGGATAAAGCCAAAGCTCTCTTGTTAGCTAAAATAGGTCTTCATATGCATCCATGTCAATCTGAGATTTGGGCTGCTTTACTTCTCTCTATTATGACAAATAAAATGTGGTCAGACAGAAAACAGTGGATTTTAAATATTGTCAGTCATATGAGAAAGAATCTTGACATTACTAGAGGCTTAAGTAGATGGCTTAATCTTTTAGAAAAAAAAATAAATAAGCAAATAAATGCATAAGTGCCTTACATTACACTCATAGCAGTCTTGGAATAAAATTTATTATCAACTTTTTATTACTCCTTGTATAATTTATTATAAGCTTTAATTAACTGCCAAGTGTAGGTAATTTATATATGAATCAAAATATTCCTATCTTCTATGCTATACATATTACATATATGTATCATATCAGTTTGACCATAAGAGCTGTGTACATGATCTTAAAGGTAGAGAGGAAGGGAATCTGGTATATATATCACTTATACAACCACTTTTGTAATCAAACTATAATACAACAAGGTTACTAATGATGAATTGTGATAATTTACAGAACTTGCTATGTTTATAAAGTTAATGTTAAAATTACTGATTATAAAAATACTATAGGTTTTCATAAAATATATTTATTGTAAACATAATTGGTTATTATTGTCCATATAAGTATCATGTATTCTCAAGTAAACTGCTAGAAACTTCTCTCCGTTGTTCCTAGTCACTTTTTGTCCTTCTTCTGTGCTTTCATAAAGCTTATCTACAATTATATCATTTTTCTAAAACAAAAGTACATTAGTAATAATTTATAGCTTTTATAAAAATGGATGTTCGTTCATTTTTCTAACCACTTACCAAATCTTCTTCGGGTACTCTTTTAAACAATGGATGGTCTTCAAAATGTGTCACCATCCATTCATGTAAATCTTTTACATCTGTGATTGTATACACCATACCCTTAAACCATGGTTAATAACCATTTTAACTTTATTCCAACCAAAATGAATGACAATTTAAATGTAAAATTAGTAAATTAATTTCTTACTTGTTCAATAAAGAAAAAAATATATTTTTTAAAGATTTGGTAAAATGACTTACTTGTTCAGCAAGTACATAGGCATATTCCGACAGTAGCCATTTGTTAATAATTCTCCACTTGTGCTTAGCTTTTTTAAAGTGTGGATCGGGGTATAAAAAGAACATTTTTTTTAGCTAAAATAAAATAGAAAATTACAATGTGATTATAACTTTGTAAATTCATTAGTTAATTTGTTTTACACAATATAATAATGTATCTAGTTATTACCTGACCCTTATGAAAAAAATTAGGTAAATATTTCATAGCATTTGTCCTCAACACTGTAATGTTCTCATACTGATTTGGAAATTGAGTCCTCAATGCTTTAATTCTATCGTTTACATAATCTGAAACTTTAACTCTTATTTCTAGACCTAATATTAGATTGTCTGGAAACATTGGTGCTAAGGTCACTGAAAAATTAAAATGTGTATATAACTTTAAGAATTTAAATAAAAAATGGACTTAAGATAGTAACAAACACCAATTATATGATTTTAATTACAAATAGGTTGGAGTAATTGGAGCATAATAATTGAAATAAAATACTTTTCTTTATCTGTGACTATGCCTTACCTAAAAGTCCACCATATCCACATCCAACATCTAAAAATTCTACTTTTTTGCTTTTACCAGATTCAGTATTTATAACAGGATAAAGCTCCGACCAGTTGTAGCTATCTGGATGTGCAGGGCTATATGTAACGAGTGTATAAATATTTACATTAAAAATAATAAATTTATATGATATATAAATCTTATGTATTATAATATATTCTACACTAGCAAATTACCCTTGCTCCGCTCGGGTTCGTCCCTAGTAAAAATTTTGGTTTGTATGTATTTTTAAAATGTAATCATACAAAATATAAATTAAAAAATTTTGTCCAACAAAATAAAAATATAATTTTTTTTTCGTGTGGACCACTCTTTTCACTGAGAGGTATGAAAAATAGTTTACATCCTATTCTCGGACCAACCGAATATACACACAAAATTTCATAAGAATCGGTTAAGACGTTTCAGAGTAGTTTTGTTACAAACTTTGTCTATAATAATATAAAGAGGTGGAGTTTGTGATGTTGTAGGGTGTAATCTCTGGATCTGCTGAACCAATTTAGATGAAATTTGGTAAGAAGATAGTTTGAGACCCTGGGAAGGACATAGGATACTTTTTATCCCGGAAAGCATCCTTTAAGTGGGTGAAAATGGGGATGACAGTTTGTATGAGGAATCAAGCTAGGGACGAACCCGAGCGAAGCGATTTGTTATAACACGAGAATTTTATATATTAGAAATTTAATATTTAGTTACTTACTATTCAAAACAATGATCAGCAATAGGATTCGAGTGTGCACGTTGTCTGTAATATTTTTTTTGAGGCAAAGCCATGTCTATTTATAATATTACTAAAGTAATATTTTATAATTATTTTTCATGAACACATTATAATTTACTGATATATTCTTTGAAAAGAAGAAATTGCTGTCAAAATTTCAAAAATCAAAATGTTTACATGTATGTTAATAAAATGATAGGTTAGACTTAGGCATAGACCATAATTTCATTTTTTATTTCAATTCCATAGATGTATCACAGCCTAACTACATATATATATCAAAGAGAATGTAACCATTAACACCACTAAAATACGTTAAAAATTAGTCTGTTTAATCTATTTGTCATCCATGGTTTAATCTCAGACTTAGGCATGAGTTCGATATATCAAAACGTAACTAATAACCGATATGAGTTAGATAACATATCGTATCGATATCACGTTTTCACATAACTGATATTTCAAAAACTATGATATCGAAACAATAACTCGAATCGCGCGACAACTCGATACGGAAACCGAACGAAATGTTACACAGTTATCAAAACGAAAACCGTGCCAAAACGAACTACGATGGTAACGAAAGCCGAACGGTATCATATTCGCTTCTTCTCTTTCTTGTAAAGCGATGTAAAAGAGATGAAGCATTTTTGTTTTATTTGTGCAATGCTTATTGCTTAGGCAATTACAAGTTATGGCATTTCGCTCTTATGTTAGGTAGAAATAAAGGTTAATTTCAATTGTTACGATTACGTTTAGAATGTTTTGATATTTAGTCGGTTATTCCGCGAAAGATTCACACGGCAAATTGTAATTTAGTTTTATAGCAATACGGCTCAATTTGAATTGACCATACATTTAGGTAATAATGATGTTTAGTTCTTGAAGAATATTATGGTGCATTTTGACGTGTAATTTGTTGGCATAGTTTATTGGATTTAGTAAACAACAACAACAGTCGTTTCGGAAATGAAACATTGCGTTTATGTGTCGTGCATAATTATGATTATAGTGTAAAAAAGATTCTTGTACATAAATAATTTAATGATAGTTTTAGTGCCTCGTTTTGAAGACAAATCTGTCAATAGTGAAATTAATTAGTTTTAAGGTTTCTAGCTAGTTTCAAAGTATTTTATAAGAACTTTAGATAGACACTATACTCGGAATTTTAATTCGATTCCAGATTTGACAATTTCAGTGTTGCAACGTTATGACAAGTACTAAATAGTGACGTTGCGAAATTATTCGATACAGAAATGCAATATTTTCGGATCGATTCCTCTCGTTTATAGTAGTATATCTAAACAACTACTACTTTAATAGAAACTTAGTATATCAGGAAATTAAATATTTCTGAACGGATAATTTAGTTATGACGATTAATTTTATTAAGGATCTGAGAGTTTTCTTTAATAATTGTATGTGAAATAAATAAATAAATGTGATCATGAAGGAACATGAGAAATAAAACAAATAGATGTATTATGGTAATATTTTATTTTATAAATCGTCGCCATCATCGCTATCGCTATCTGTAACGTTTATTATAAATGTGTCTGTGATATTGTTAATTAACATATCTAGCCTACTCATTTTTTCCTCTTCTTTGACAACATGGGATACGCATTTAGACCATTCAGTAGCCGTAATTTTTTGAATGCCTTCATCAAATAAATTTCTCACGTCTGTCAATTTGAAGGTTTTATTATGTTATTATACTTGTAGGCGTTGCGGATCATTACTTTTTCAGTAACAGTGAAAGCTTTTCGTGGACGTTTTTTTCTTGGGGACAAGAAAACATCCACGTCTTTTTGTGATGTACTTAGCTGAGGATCCATTTTGATGGAAAACCAAAACAAATAGATTCACTCAAAGTTCACAAAAAACTATAAACATAACAACAAACACAATATAGCAAAAACCCAACAAAATAACAAAATATCGATTCGCAATGAAACTAGATATTCGTGCAGTCAGACTGGGAGAATGAAGCCGACTGCCGAATGACAAGATAAACAAAATGGCGATCGATAGCTGCACGAGCGCGCACGGGCTGCCAATACAGAAAACTATCTATCTAGACTCTTTTATTATAAGTTTTGTTTTTAATATAAAAAACAAAAATATTAACTTTTTATAAAATAAAGCAGTGGTTACTAATTAATAAATAATTTTAAATAAAACTATCTTTTCGGATTTTGTCGCGGATTTATTTGTATTTTTGTTTCCCGACGTTTCGAATGCTTTACAGCATCCATGGTCCCGTGACCATGGATGCTGTAAAGCATTCGAAACGTCGGGAAACAAAAATACAAATAAATCCGCGACAAAATCCGAAAAGATAGTTTTATTTAAAATGTCAAATATTCGCGTAAATCTAAGAAAGTATTAATAAATAATTGTTATAAAAAATTATGTATTTCTTTAAATAACTATCAATAATTTAGTCTTTAATTGGCACACCAATATTATGATTACATAAACATAAATCGCGATTGTTTATCGATTTTTGTGTTCATCACTACACTATTATATGTGGTATCATTATTTTACAAAATGACAGTAGCTAATGTCAAATGTGGAATCGAATTATAATTCCGAGTATAGATACTTATTTTTATAACAATGTCGCGAAAGGCAAGTGAGATTTTGATAAAAAAGACAATGCTGTTTCTATGGCTGTGTGTAAATATTTTATTGCATTCTTAAATGCAAATCTGTCTTTATCCAAAAACAAGTAGATTTAAAATTAAACATCTGTAAATATTTATAAATCATAAATCATTGTATATATGGCGATTTTTAAATGAGCCAGAAAAGTATCTTTATTTTTTTACTTACAAAGCTTTTCTGATAGTCCTAAGCCTAGTAAAGCATGAAGGGAAATCGCCATAACTAACTAAAACATCGCAGACTGAGACATTCTTTAAAATTTATTAGGTTAAAATAACTCGTTAAATGTGCACGTGTTTTCGTTTGTCGTTAGTTACATAACTGTGTAACCAAATACGTTAGCAAACCATAATAATGATATCGATATCTAAAAACCGTTTTCGATATCGATATGAAAACTATATAACGGTTACATATCGGTTTTCGTCAAAAAACGAAAACGCCCATCTCAACTCAGACTAAATTGACAGTTGACACATGAAAATGTCAAATTCAGTGATAATGCTGCCAGGTGCCAGCTCTTTTGTGCAGTGTTGTACCTACGATACCGGTTTGTTGGATCGTAAATTTTTATCTTTATTAGACGATTCGCTTTAAAGTTTTATATTCCACAGTGTATCATAAAAATTCACATTATAATTTCTAAATCATTAAATATCATATTTATTTATTTTAAATCATTAAGATCCATTAAAATCCACATTAATTAATTTAAATTTGCATTATTAATTTTGTATTATAACGTTTAAAATAAGTACCTACACATTATTTCACGATAACTTATTATAAAAAAATGAACTTAATATAAAAAAACGATACTTGATTTTATTAACGTTAATTTTGGATAGTGGTACATCAAAATTTAAGAATTTCAAAAAGCTGGCAGCCTACGTAATGTCAGTTAATTGTCTCCGAGATTAAAAAACAAACCTATACTAGTCACGGAAGTGCGAGTCAAATTTATTATTAATAATAGGCTATTTAACAGTGTGAAAAATACTGTTTTATTTATTGACATCCGCATAGAGCATAGGTTTTAAATTTATATATTATGATATATATATATATATATATATATATATATATATATATATATATATATATATATATATATATATATATATATATTATATAGATAGATTTATATAATTATGTGAAAAAATATAATATAGAAATTTTACCTGAAAATAAAATTTGTATTATGTTTCCTAAGACATCCGAAGTCCAATTATGAGAGATCTGTTTGTTATCTCCTGGTGGCTTGCTAAATAGAACGCAACAATGTGATTATAAAAAACATACAATTGGCATTATTTAAAATTTTATTAATAAAATTAACCAATCAAGGATTCAAGATTATCTATTTTGAGTAATTCAGAGCATTCTATATAATTATAAGTTAATGTACATATTTAAACAAATATTTAAACTTAGGACTGAAATGACTAAAAATATTATTAATTTGACACTGCAAACAATCTAGATAGTGACTTTTCTGAATCAACATTACTATTATGATCTTTACTTTTAATCTCTCTATAATAATATTTTCGAAAGGTATTTTCATGGCGCCAATTTGCCTTAGCTAAAATCTCGTTAACTGGGTACTTCTCTAAACAATTAAGAGATGACACAGCTGACCTAACACTACCTGGCGTAGCCTCTATCCCAGCTTCAGAAAGGATACGTCTTATCCAACCCCCAATGATTACAGGACTAGCTGGTTTACTAGGAACTCTTGTGTTTATGAATAAATTGGTCAAATTACTTCGAACATTTTCCGAAATGCGTATCAATGATCTTAACCAAAACAAGGGGTCAGTATTTCTATCAGGCGAAGCCAGTAACTTCCAACTTGATTGTTTATAAGTTGCCGTATCAGTTTTCGAGCCAAATATAGGATGCAAGATAATTGAATCCCCACTGTCAACAAAATGTTCTGGATCACAATGCAGGAGAAGTTAAGTCGTGTATTCTACGACCCGAAGCCAATAACAATATAATCGCTGTTCGCCTAGAAACATCATACAAACTATCTAAGTTAGGATTTGTATTTTTCAAAAAAATTATTACTATTCTTGCATCCCATATTTGCAATTTCGGTGGAGCCGGTCTAGCTAATGACACGGCCTTTAAAATATGTTTAACTAAATGATTTGATGTAATCTTTATATCCGATAAAGTTTCACAGACTGAAGCTATAACTGACTTATGTACCAGAATGGTACGGTATGATAAACTATCTTTAAGAAAAAGTTTAGCTAAGTACCTGGCTACACTGGCGGGTGCAGGACGACGATAGTCCACTTTATTTTGCTTACACCATAGAAACCACTTGTTCCATATTGGTGTATAAGTTTTAAGTGTGGATGCTCTCCAACATCTTGACAAAAGTTGCTTTTCCTCAGCGGACCAGTCCTGTGTTAGAGAGTCCCAGCCGAAATGAGCCAAGCTTCCAACTGTAGGTTGTGAACTTGAGCTGGAGGACGCCCCGTCACTGTGTCCACTAATGTTGTTCTCAGATTCCTGATTTTCATTGGACGAGCTAGGGCGCGGCTCTTCAAGTCCGGCCTCCAAAAGGGTTTCTTCCACTTGGGTGCAACAATTATGAACCTTCCCTTTGCGGAGTTGAGATGCCGTAACACCCGCGGAAGTACAGCTGGTGGAGGAAATATCCAGGCGAGGTCGTAGCTCCAGCATCTGCTGAAAGCGTCGTGAAAGCAGGCGCTCGAGTCTAACAAGTCTAGAGTAGCATAATCTGACACTACGTGAGCATTTCGCGAGGCGAACAGATCGATATCTGGAGTTCCCCACCGGCCGAATATCTTGTTGGTTGCCTCGTCTAGCAGGTGCCACTCGGTACCGATTCGATTCCGAGAGATCTGATCGGCTTCCGTGTTGTACAGTCCCGTAAGGTGGTGAGAGATTAGTACAACATTCAGGCTGTCCGTTAGTGCTAGGAGCTGATTTATCAATGTCAAGAGATTCCTCGACTTGGTTCCTCCTTGATTTTTTATATACGACACAACTGTCTTGTTGTCGCTCTGTAACATTATTGTTGAATTTCTTAGAGCCTTTGCCTCCAGAGATATGGCTGCTATCACAGCATACATTTCTTTCAAGTTGCAGTGCCACTTCAGCTGATGTTGACTCCAGCAACCTTTTATTACTTTGTTGTTTACTAGTGCCCCCCATTGAATGTCCGAGGCGTCGGTGACGAGGTAATTGACAGGTAAGTTCCTTGGGTGAATATGAGACTTCTGGTCGATATTTTCCAACCACCACTTTAATTCCCCGCGCACTTCGTCTGCGAACGGGATCGGCCGCCGAGAATTTTTCTGTAAACAATTGCTGTGGCGCTGAAGCACTCGGCAATGCAACCTTCCCCGAGGGGTGATGAAGGTCGCAAAATTGAGATACCCTAAGAGGCGTTGCGCCTGCTTGAGGGTCCAACTGCCTGCTGTCAAGCGAGCCCATAAGCACTGACGGATCTTGGCTACCTTTTCTGGGGGCAAACTCTTGGAGTTGTATTGCGTATCCCAGATAATCCCTAGGAATTCTAAACGCCTCGTTGGCCTCAGAATAGATTTTTCCACGTTGATATTCCAACCTAGGGAGGTGAGAAACTTTAAGGAAATATGAACATGTAATCTTAATGTTGCTTTGCTTTGGTGGACTATTAAAAAATCGTCTAGGTAGACAATTAGGCGAAGACCCTTGCTGCGTAATATCTCGGCAGTCCAATTTGTAACTGATTAAAACATTCTCGGAGCTGCAGCAAGGCCGAATGGAAGACATGTCATCTGCAGCAGCCGACCTTCGTAACTTAGGCGTAGAAAACAACGATGTCTTTGAGAAATTCGTAAATGGTAATAGGCCTGTTTTATATCCAGCTTCACCATCCAGTCGCCTGCTTGTAGAAATGTTGGCATTTTGTGATGATAAAACAGATGGAAATGCCTTGGTTGTATAAATTGATTTAATGCCTTGAGGTTGAAGATAACCCGATTCTTTCCATTGCTCTTTGTTATAATGAAAAGCGGGGATATGAATGACGGACTTAAAGGGGCTGCTTCGAGAATCCGATCTTGAATCATGGTTTCTATCTCTGAAGACATTATCAAGGAACTCTGTGTTTGAAATCTTTCCATGACATCCGGCGATGGAAAGATTAGAGGAGGCGTCTGATTGAATGGAATACGGGCGGCAGAAATTAATTTAAGAATAGTTTTGGGTGGCCGAAACTTGGCCCACACCTCTTGATAAAACATCAGACAGCCGCCCACAAACCTCGAGTCATTTGCGCCTACTCCTGTTAGCTTCATCCTTTTGGCCCCCCCTTCCCCTTTTAACTTGCTCGTCAAAATTTTGTCTCTTATTTTTCCTTTGCTATGGTTTGACTTGTTGAAAACGAAAGGAGGGTTTTTCCCGAGATGTAGAAGCAATCGGTGATTTAGAAGTCACTGGTAATTTAGAATGTCTCACAGGTTTCAGTTGAGGTCCTATATCTTTATCTAATTTGTCTAATCCGCCTATTTTTTGTATATAAGCCGATAAACTTTGAGGATTAAACATATATTCTATCGAAGGAGGTATTTTATCGATATCTTCCCGTATATACTTTCCTTTTAAACCTTTAAGCAAAGCTTTACGCCGTAGTTCTAATACCTCTGCACGTTTTCCACAAATTAATTGTAAAATGTCGTGAGATACAGCCTTATAATTAGATTCGTTTCCAAATAACTCTTTTAATTTATCATAAATTAAATTTGAAGTTAATTGCGCATCAGGTTTCGCGGCCCAATCTATTAAATGTTTTAATGCAATATTAACACATTCATTTTGAGCTAAAAAGGCATTAGACAAGGCAGCAAAACTGCGTTCCATCTGATACCATCTGAGCGGAGCAAAAGGATCTTCTAAACGCCTCAATTCCTCATTTACTTTTAGCTCAGAAAATGCCGGGAATGCTACATATTTCTTTTGCACCTCGGTGTACCGAACAGAATTCCAATCCAGAGAATCAAATCTTTGCATTGACGCTATTTTTGCAACCCGATCAGGATTTGCCTTTGGCATAGTTGGTTCCTTGACGGACACATTTATCTCGGCAATATCTTTTAATTCACCTACTGGCCTTAAAAACGGGTCATCAAGCGAATTTTTTACTGCTGTCGAAGCAGCCGCCATAGGAAACGAGGAGTTCGTGGATATCGGATGCATCGTAGCGTAATTGACACGAAATAAATTATTTATATGACTCACCAACTGCTGCGATAACTGATCAAACCTGCGATCGATTTCTTGACATGAATCGGAAGACCGACTATGACGTCGTCGCTTTGGCGGCGGTTCATCTTCCTCGCTCGAACTTGAATTCGAATCCGATGATTCACTTGAAGGCGTGTGAGTATTTTTCTCCAACCGATTCGAATCACAATCACCAAAAACGTCCACATTATTATTAATCACTGGCTCGGTATTTTTCTCACTGTTGTCCATTTTACGATTTAAAACACAATACTTTAACGTAACGGAATAAAACTGTAACTTTCTACTTTAATCTCGAAAGTTTAAACAATAATTCTACTTTTGAAAACTCTAATATAACACAACGGTCGTTTTTCTTAAACAAGTTTTCTAATAAATCTAGCGATGCGTGCAACTCAAAAAATGACGCAACAATGATTTTAGAAATGGCGGCTTGCCTTACACAGGTTGCAAAAGTTAGTTTCAGTTTTGGCCACGGCTGGCGCTAAAAGCACAAATTGTAACGGAAGAGAAAGTAATCTAGCGGAAAGCGACGGAAAAGGTTGATGTACTCTCATAATTGGACTTCGGATGTCGAACGGAATACATAATAATCTTTATTGTCAAGATTATTATATATTTTTCACCTAAGTTTTAGGCAATTTTCAAGCTATCAAATAACATGTCTGTCAAATGTCAAAAGTATTGACAGCCTGTCTTCGCCATTTCATCATCATTTTTCTGGTGACTTTATAGTAGTATTTGTGCACTCTGGCACTACACACCATTTATACATTTTCTTTAATAGATATAATGCTTAATAACAAAAATGAACGCTAACTCAACTTGGGTTGTGTCGCTTGATTGTTTATAACTCCTTGTGATGTCACTGACGCCATGTTGCGCAAACAAGTGTTTCAAGGGCCTATTTGAATTTTCCTTTTTTAATTGCTATTATTTGATAAAATACTTATAAGTATTAAAAATAAACATTTTTTGTAGGCTCAGTAAACACCAGTAAATAATTTAAAAAGATTTCAAGAAACCAGTCAAATAGCCTATTTAAAAATATATACTTTTAAAATAATTATTATTTACAAAAATAGATATTTATTATTAGTAATGTTACAGTAATTATTACTTATAAAAAATGAATATTTATTACAAATGATTTTATAAAAATATTAAGTTATATTCTTTTGGCGCGTTAGGGAAAAAAATTATCTAGACTACAGTATGAACTTAGTCGTTAAATCTCCCTTTAGTTTAGTGTGAAGTGAAGTCTTTATTCAAAATATTTATTCCGATTTCCGGTACTAGCGTAGCGAATAGTGTCACCCTCGCTCTGCTTATGGTCGTCACTAGTTACGTTTTAACGTTTAGATCAGAGATGAGATATTTTCCTGCAGTAAAAAGTACCTTTTAAGTTGACCCGAAATTCTAAACTATAGATTGGCCTCTGTATCGATAATAATGTCTATTTCAATAACATTTTCTAAAATATATTTAATGTACAAATTTGGCTTAGTTAGAATTTTATCATACGTATAGATTTCTGTATAGAAAAAACGACGTTTGTTTGTTTACAAAATACGTTTGTTCTATCGTTAAAGTGCCTATTTTTTGTTTATTTAATAATTCTCATTTAGCTCAATTATTGTACAGATATGTAATTAATATTATTAATATGCGATTTTTAAGGCATTTTCTGCCCCGCACAACCACTCTGTGGAACCAGCTATCGCCAACGGTCTTTCCGAACCGCTACGACCTGGCCACCTTCAAGAAGAGAGCGTATTCCTTTCTTAAAGGCCGGCAACGCATCTGCAAGCCCTGCGGTGTTGCAGATGTCCATGGGCGGCGGTGATCACTTTCCATCAGGTGAGCCTCCTGCCCGTTTGCCCCCTTAGTCCCATAAAAAAAATATTATTCAGATATGTATACTTATGTTGCGTTACGTCAATTTTACGTTTAATGCGGTTCTTTTGAAAATTCTGGGAGGCCAGATTTGGTAAGCACCGTGCACCCTCGTGCGCACTCCACTTTGATGAAGTGACTTTACAGATTCAAGTATATTTTTTTATCACGGTGACAAAAGTCACTAGTGCGCGCTAAGCTTTATACTACGTCATTTAACTATGGTTTGAAGAATTCGTTATCATTTTCACCTTTTTCTGTTAAAGGCCGCAGTGCACATTTGTCGAGATATACCGTGTTTCCGAATAATAATAATAAATTTTAAATTAGGTACCTAACTAAACTTAAAGTTTTTGTATAGTTCATGATTTGCTTTCACAAACTGAAATTTATCAAAAAATATTTTCAATTCTTTCAGTTATTATTCACGGCTTTTACCTGCGGGTGGGTGTTGGGGTTTACTTCTTACGTCTATGGTTTACCCTATGTCATGACCTATACCAATGCGACCGTAAATGCAAATGCAACTCAATCACAAGAACATTAAATATTTTATTTATTTGTCTACGCTTAGGGGATGGAATTTATTATTTGACAGTTGAATGAAAATTGACATTGAGACATTTGACAATAGTCAATAGCTTTTCGCTCAAACTGATTCAGTCAAATCAAAATATTTTAAAAAATAATGGAAAATAAATCACCATGCTTATAGTGTGTTAAATATTGAATCCTAGTGATGAAGGATCATCGTTACTTCAGTCACCTTGTCATGTAGAGCTACGCGGCAACGTACTTAAAGACATATATAAGTTCAAGTAAGTGTAAATTTAACAGATAACCCTCTACATACTTACGCGCTTTTTATTTATGTTAGAAACTTTGTTTATTCATTTTAATAAAATTCTTAGAATAAAAGAAATTCAATATAAATTCCTCATAATCGCGATTTATTACCTCATTTGAGAATAAAACGAAGCTTGGAATAAAATTTAGTTTTTTAACGGAATAATTTAATTGATTATCAAAAAATTTGCAACCACAATGATTTATTCAAAAGAAATTAAATAGGGATACATAATTTTTACTTAAGTTTAGTACATAAACAGATCACATAAAACTATACTAGTACAGATGCCTCATCCCATACAACAAAATTGGACAGCGCTAGGTTTATTTTTTGGGCTATTTTTGTTCGCTTGAATAGATAATAGATGTTGATTCTCAAATAGTTAAATTGTTAATGAATAATGATACCCAACTTTAATAACAAATTGATACATGTGACATCATCTACTGACATTTATTTGAACAATTTTTTCTTTGTATGTGATGAGATTCCCATGGTACATGGGTCACATGTGACCTTAAGAGAGAGTGTTAAGACTCCCCAGAGTGTTAATATATAAAAATTATTATTCAAAATAAAAGAGAAGTTATAGAGGCTTAAAAATCATCTCATATATGACTTTCCCAGTTAACATATTAACATAACTAGTAACTACTTAACTCCTCCATATTATATGAATTATTTGTTATGTTCATGTTAAACATATCTATAATATTTTTAAATTGACTATGTTTTTAATTACAGCCAATTTTAAACTACCAAAAATATTCTGTTCTTGTTCGCAAAAACATATCATAGGTACACAACTAGGATACAACATGTTCATATGTGTGTAAATTTATAAAGAGTCAAATGATACTGCATATTTCTATGAACTATTTCTATTAACTATTACTATATTACATTCAAATATGAACTATTTCTGTACAATTTTTTTAAAAATATATTTGTTTTTATTGACATTTTAACATTAATAAGGTTAATAAAAACAGCCAATAAAATATGTATACACATTTTTACTAACAATAAGAATAATTGATATTATCAACAAGGATTAAGACTGAAACTTGGTATAAATGTTAATGCATATAAGGTATCTCCAAGAGTAGAGATAAGTAATTATATCAAAATAATATTGATTTTATTTGAGAAACTATCTAGACTCAATTATAAGTATACTTGTAATATGTACCTATATTATAACAATTTGTCACTTAATCATCATTACCATACAATTTTTAGATTTCTGAAGGAATAAAATATGATTGTAGAATGCATATTCTATCTATGCATAATCTCATCTAAACTGTTAGGGGTAAATTTTGTAGCAGGAAATGTCAACTAGACATATATTGTACATGATATATTATAACGGTAATTGTGCTTTGTAAGCATTATAAACACCACACATTTATATGTATTATATAGTTTCTGCTCCATTCGCATAATTTATTTATAATGCACATTAAATACTAGTATATATAAACTATTAAGTAGGTATATTAATTAAGTATATCTTCACCTCATACAATTATTGCCTAATAATTGCTTATTAAAAAATATAGTACACTTTTATAGTTTTTTGTTACTACTTAGTAGGTATTGGATAACCAATGCAAACATAAATACATACTTAAGTACGTACTTACGCTCGCATTGGTTGTCATTCCATATCTATAAAATAAATAAAATTGAAGTGTCTGTTTGTAATGTCAAAATAACAGCTTTTTTACTAAATGCATATCAAATTATATACGGTACTTATAAGAAAAACACATTTTTTTAAATTTTTGTCTGTCTGTCTGTTTGTTCCGAATAATCTCTGAAATGGCTGGACTGATTTTGACAGGACTTTCACAGAAAGATAGCTGATGTTATAGGGAGTAACATAGGCTAATTTTATTAAAAAAAAAGAATTAGGTTTTCGCTCAAAAAAATTAAAACTTACCTTAAAAATTGTAACATAAAGCTTATGAGTTTTTTTGTAGATTGAACGCGGGTGAAGCCGCGGGTTCTGCTAGTTATTAAATAATTTAGTACATCATTTAGCTATACGTTTATATCCTACTAACATTATATTTACAATAATATAGCTCCTTTTTATCCCGGAAAAATGTACGATTTCCGTGGGATAGATACTTGGTTTTAGTTTTTCTAGAGGCGAACACAAGAGAAGCGAGGGTGAGCCGCTAGTTGAAATAAAGTTACAATTTAACCGAGATAGCTGCGAGATGCGGCCGGTACACGGGATAAGCGATTGAGCGATGTTTTGACGTTAAAGCCCCGGCGGCCAGCACCCACGTGCGCTCGTCAGCGTCGCGCCGCAGTCCGTTCACGGCGTCGCGCGCGCCACACGCCCGACACATCGAGAATTAACCCGCGCTTATCAAACTTCGCGAAATGTTGTCATGCTTTGCGACGCGTTTATTAACACTAGTTTAATTGCGAATCATTGTTCATGAGCGTTTACACCCTGTTTTCGTATAACGATACTCTGACAAAATGAAGAGAAAGGATTCCCAATATAGTTTAAACAGAGACGCGTCGCGGTCTGCTCGAATGCTCTCGGATAGTATGTCATCTGATGAACCAGAAACCGAAAGCCTGCTAAATTTGCAACAACCCCCCATCGTTATTGCAATCGGTAGTGAACGACGACAGTCCCTCACTGCACCGCCCTCTCCTACTGAGTACCGCAAAAAGCGCGACAATCGTCATCATCACAACTATATAAACCATCTTCATCATCTCATCCACTGGAGAGATATCTGGGGTGGAGAAACGCAAAAACCTCAGGAGGTACATATAGTGCATTTAGTATTTCAATTGTATGTGTATCTCTGTGCTTGAATTGTGCATTATAATAACAGTGGTGAAATGATTTATATCAACAGAGTGAGAGATGCAATTATGTTTATTGAATGTAAATGATATCATATTATATATAAAAATGTTATGTACCTACTTATGTACATAGGTTTTTCGCTCAGGCTTCATATAAAAATTTCCTACATGTAATTAAACACGTGCGTAAGTACCATATTCAGCTTAAAATATGTTGAAACTTTTATGTAACTCAATTGCTATAAATGTTAACTATTAAATATCAGATTTTTCAATATAAGTTAAACCAGTAAATGTTAATAAATAATGACGAGATTGATTTATATATCTGAATCGTATTTTTTCAAGTTCCTTTGTCTCTGTAGCCTTGGTCTACTTTTTTTTATTCAACAACACCTTGACTGTGAACGTAATTTTGCTATAACAGATTATAATTTGTAAAGATGTGAATACGTGTAAAAACTTTATAATGTATGAATTATTTAACATGAACAAATAATTGGTAACATGGAGAATTATGGAAAAATAATAATACTCTACAAATTAAAGCAAAAATTTTTGACTATGCTTACTGTACCAACCTAAATAACTAAAAAGGCTTTTGCAAATTAATTAACAAAAATAAAAAAACCCACTGCATAAAAAGTGAACTAAAAAGATGAAAACAAGTTTACAAAAGAGCATAGTATTATACAGTCGGAGACTACACAGTACACACGTAGCTATTATAAAACTAGCAGAACCCGCAGCTTCGCTCGCGCTAAAACTACAAAAAAACTCTAAAAAGGTAGATTTCATACAAACTTTCATGCCCTATTTTACCTCCATATGGGATGAATTTCGAACAATGCTAAAATACGTATTTATTTATTTAATTGAAGAGCATTCAATCAAAATCAATCAAAATATACTTTATTCAAATAGACTTTTACAAGCTCTTTTGAATTCATTAATACCAAGTTTCAAGTAATTCTGATCATAAATATTTTTTGGGTTGTATTATAACGTGTTTTCCCGTGGGAATGAGATAATCTCTCGTAGTAAAAAGTAGCCTATGTCACTCTCCAGCCCTCCAGCTATCTCCACACAAAATTACGCCAATCCGTCATTCCGTTTCACTTGAGCCGATGCCTTGATACCTTTTTACAAAAATATGGCTCAGTCACTCCTTCATAGCTAACACCCCACCAAACCATCACTGAATACGGATAAAGCCCGCGTTGTACTCTGTTGACTAATTGGGAAGCTTCCTTAGTGTTTTAAGTATAAATACGGTCATTTTGTTTGTTAAAATATTGTTCAATTGTAAAAAATTTCTCATCCGTAAACAAAAATTTTCAGTGACCTCTTTTCAGTGATTTTACCACCCTATTCTTTTTTAAATTGTCAGTTAAGAAATGACCAGTGCGACTCTTATAGGCCGCAAGTCCTTTTTTTTTTTTAACGTTGGGAAATGCATTTACGCACGAAGTGTGGGACTCACCGGCGAAGCCAGTACTACCCACTAAAACCCAACAAAACCTTCCCCCGTCTTAATGGGGCGACGCAGGATCGCTTACGCATTCAACTACGACGCCCCGACGGCAGGTCTGCCGAAGCAGACCACAACAACCACGGGGTTGCTCCAAGGTCCACTCTGCTATGGGCCGTAAGTCCTAAGTCATCATTTAAAATACGCGTCATGGTTCTAGGTGCTATCTTCATCTCCCGAGATAAAATATTTTGCCTTCGGACAGGATTTCTTCGAATTCTTTCCCTTACTGCTTCGATCGCTTTTTTGGTACGAACACTACATGGACGGCTAGATCTTTTTCTGTCACAAACAGAGGTTTCATTGTACCTATCAATAGCCCGGTATACAAACATTTGACTAATACTTTTTATCACCCCACTCCATTTTAATATCATAAAATATTTTACAATGTATTGGCGCGAAAATGAGAAAACACAATGAACAATCATATAAAAATGACAGATTCCAAATTCAAATGTAATATTTTGTTTATTTTTAATTGTAACAGTATTTATGGCCAGACTATGTATATTCTGAATTTAAAAATTACTCTAAAGGAAAATGAAATAATGTGTCAAATTAAATCATACTAGGTCACTACATAAGTTTTGTCGTACTTTTTTATTTATTTATTTTTTTCAAAATTATTTCCATTTGCACTAATATATGCTCTCATACGTTCGAACCATGTAATAAATACTTTGCTCTAGAAACCATTTGGAATACTACCGCATGTCTCTTTAAATGCGCCTATAAGCTCTCCATCATTAGAGAACTTACGCCCTTTTAATTGTTTTTGCACATAAGGAAAAAGCGCAAAATCACATAGCGCTAAGTCTGGGCTGTAAGGAGGATGACCTAGTAGTTTCACTTCAACTTCATGCAAATAATCTGCAGTTTTGCCAGCCTGATGTGCGGGAGCGTTGTCCTGATGCAAAAACCAAGTGTTGAGTCTTGAGTTTGGTCGCTCGTTTTTCAACGCTTCTAAAACTCGAGGCAAACATTCTTCTGTGTACCATTTTGCAGTAACGGTCTTCTGTTTATAGAGCAAGATGGTGGATAATTTTCCGCGTTTTGAGATAAATATTGCTACTATTCTTTTTTTAACTGATCGAGACATTTTGACCGATGTCGGCGGATCTTCATCTTGAAACACCCACACTTTACTCTGAGATTTAGTTGGGACATCAAAACAGTAAAGCCAAGTTTCGTCACATATAAAGATTGAATTGACGTACTAAGATCGACCGCCACCAAATTTTTTTTAACGTCTCATGACGCCAATTCATACGTTGGTCCCTCAGCTCCTCAGTCATCGAATACGGCACCCAGAGTGTTCAGAGTTTCCTAAGTTTTAAATCGTCGTGAAGAATTCGATAAACAGTCGTTGCATTTAAATTTAGGATTTCCTCGATCTGTCGATACTACACATGCTGGTCTTCTTTAAGTAGTTTTGCAATGCCTTGACTTTTTTATCGGTAGTTTTCTCTATTGGCCTACCCGACTTCGAATCGTCCTCCAAGTTAAAATTATCGGGAATTAACTGAATAAACCACATTTCTATAGTCCTTAAAGAAGGACAAGTATGACTTAATGCACCACTCATTTGTTCAAAACATTGTGCTTAGTAAATCCACGCTTAAAATAATACAAAATTATTACACGAACGTCGCGACGAGTAAATTCAGTCATGTATAATTTTCAAAATATTGCAATAAATCTGCAAAGCTACTGTACGTCACAAAACTTGTACTATTATTGTTTATATTAGTTTGCCTTTACGAATCTATCCTTATCTGCACAATACCTTACATATATTTTACGTACGACAAAACTTATGTAGTGACCTACGTATATCTGTAACTTACCCTCGCTTCTGGGTACGTTTTATTTTTTTTGAGCGGAACCCTAATGAGTTTAAAAAAAAATTAAATAAAAGTATCCTAAGTTACTACTTATAACATCAGCTATCTGCCAGTGAAAGTTCCATTAAAATCGGTCCAGCTGTTTCGGAGATCAGACAGAAATAAAAATTTCAAAAATTGTGTTTTATTTATTAAGTACCGTATATAATTCCATATGAATTTAGTAAAAAGCTGTTATTATGATATTACAGACACTTCAATTTATTTATCTGTATAGATTATTGGAAAAGTTTGCTATTACATAATAAGTTTATAGCGTGTATTGATAGGTTTTCTTTCGTGTATTCATTTTATAAGTTGTTTACAACGTTTAAAAACGGTTTAAAGTTTTTTAACCGTTATTTATCACATTAAAATATCTCGACAAGTTACCTAGAAACGCCAATTTTAAGTTTTTCGAGACATATTGGCTTTTTTGTGTCTTCTAATGTATTCAGTACATGATCGTGTTTGTCTAGGGAGGCTCATTATGAAGGATTTTTATCTGGTCTCATCGTCCACCGGGATAGATGTCAGCCACATGTCAAACACTCTTGGTATCTTACAAATGCAAATAATGGCAGGATCTTCCTCTGGAGATTTTTTCTAAACACAACTAATATGAAATTCTTTAAATGTTGGGTTTTCAGTGCCTAATAGTAATATTTAGTATGTTTTATATACTTAAAAAGAGAGATATACATAAAAAGAGTTTTCCTCAGAGTGCCTTGTAAAATAATTGAAATTAGTGTTGTTTATGCGTTTTTAATATATATTATACGCTTCAGTGTACATAGGTATATTTAATAAGATATAATATTTTTTCTATCTTTGTTCTATTGAGACGGAAAAACATACTCCGAAGATTATGTTGATAAGACCATGTGGTTTTTTGCCGTGACATTGAGATTCTTAAGTGTCTTATTTTCAATTATGTATATAAATAAACTTTTTTATTTATAAGAATAATTATAAGACTTGCAACGAATAGTAAATATATATATTCGGCTATACACCGAATACCAAATATTCGGCGGGCTTTCTAGCCGAATAGTCGAATATTAGGCAAAAGTATTCGATCAGCGCGTGGCGGGACAACTTGTATTTACGTCTTTGTTTCTTGTGTGGCGCCAGGAAATAGTATTTATTCAGAGTGTCTTTTCTCTGAATTTGGGATTTTCTAGGAGTAAACTATTGCCTAGAAATGCAGAAAAAATAGTCTGCTTGCATCATAATCTTCCACTTCGAAATTTTAATTATGATAATGCGAGTGCATAGACATTTATTTTTTGTGTCAATTTTTATAATAAAGAAGGTGATTATGTATACCTATGACTTATATTTATAAGAAAAATATATTATTATAAAAAAAAACAATATTTGCATTTTACCGATAGGAAATATGCATGATTTTTTTTTAGTTTTTAATACAATAGCATCATTATATAATTGTAAAAAAAATATCCAGCTCCAAAAACTCCTTAAAATATCATGCCGTTACAGATACTTTAAACGCTTGCCATTTCGCGCGCTTGGTGTGACGTCACAGTATGATACACAGAGAAATTATGACTCAATTTGTAAGCGGCAAAATCGCTCTGTTATGATATAGTCTGACGTCATATTCGGTCTGACCAATGGTGTTGCGCTTTAACTACGTTGTTTTGACCACCTGTTTTTGCACTTTTTAATAATTATTTTCTTAATCAAAAAGAAATGACATAAAAAATATTAATGTAGGCTTAATTCAAAAGCAATAAAGATTATAAAAATAACATTTCACCTTTCTTTAAATCACACGCATGTTCCCTATTATTATCAGGCTGATAACAACAAAACATATTACTTGTATTCAGCTCTGTTTTTTTTTAATATTACTTAAGTATTCGATATTCGGCCGAATAGGATAAAAGTAGCCAAATAGGCCGAATGCCGAATAATAGCCGAATATTCGTTGCAAGCTATTAATTATGCTTTTTATTTAGTAAAAAATAAAAATAATTTTACTGAAAACCTAAGTATTTGCAAACGCTAACAAGCAACAGCTGCTGTACACAAGTCAGTTAACTATTATATTGTGATGACATCTAATAATTTAAAATCGTCGCATACTTATTGTACAATTCAGTCCCGGCAATTGATGTTGTAACGGCAACCATCTCAAATTGCGAGAACAATACAGCATTCACAATTATTTATGTTACTAGCATTGCCCGCGGCTCCGCCCGCGTTCAGATGACCAAAATCAAATTCTTAGGTTTTACATATTAGTATACTCTTACAATGCAGTTTTTGCGTTTTTTCTCAGAAATGAGACATTTTCCCGCAATAAAAAGCATCCTATATGTTGACCCGGATAACCAACTATCACCATGCCAAATTTCATCAAAATCCCTCCCATGGTTTTTCTATGATGCAGAAACAGACAGATAGACAGACATACAGACAGACAAACATTCTAAAAACTACAGGTTCGGCCTCTGTATCGACAATAATGTTTATTTCAATAAGATTTTCAAAAAAATATCTAATGTACAGATTCAGAATTACTTTCATTCAGAAGTACTTCAGCTCTTAGTGATTCCAAAATTTACTTATTATTGTTATTGATTCGATGTTTATGTAAACCTGGTTGGATTTCTGGTAAATTTCTCATTCAAATTCTGTTAGTTTGAGGGTACATGAACTTTTTTTCAAATTGTCTTATATTTAATGCACTCTAAATTTAAACTTCCTTTGTTTTTATAAATATTTATATGCGCAATATTATGGTATGAATGTATGTATATATATATGTATTTTTGAATTCGCCTCAGTTTGTAATTAAGTCCCGACTGGATAAACGTGACATTCGCTTTATATGAGTTTTTTATTCAGGTATTACTAGTGACCCACTTGTCCCTGGATAGTATTGCTGCTATATATAATAGTCCGGTCAATTTAGACCAAAAAATGAGAGTGAAGTTACATAAAGTCCCAACAAGCTGAATTTCTGTGAAATTGTTCAAAATATAATTATAAACAATGTCTAGAAGTTCCCCATCATTCCCTTGTAAGGAAAAATTTTTATTCAAGGTCAAAGGTAAAAAAAATGAGTTTTTCGCGATTTTCAGCAAAACGGTAAGTTTTATCATAAAAGTACCTCAGACAAAAATTGTAGATCATAAAATTATCTATAAAAAATGTGTCAATACTTTTTTTTACGAGCCACCGTTTCTGAGATATAACGATTCAAAAAGTTATAAAAGTTGTTATCGTCATAATATGCATGAGTACGCCACGTATATACATCTAGAGTTGTTATATTTTATATAATATATATATATATATATATTATATATATAAATATATATATTATATATTAAATGTTTAAATATTTTTCTATCGGTCATTGTAACTTATACTTACAATATAAAATATACATAAGTTTTAAACCAGGAAAAGCTCAGCATCAATCAGATATATATTCATCAAAAAGTTTATTTACTTTTGTAAAGTGTAAAGATCATGTACTATTTTTACACGCAATAACTGGCTGTGATACGACATCTGCATTTTACAGGTGGGGTAAAACAGCATTTTTTAAAATGTTTGAAAAACAAGATTTAATTCAATGTGTTGAAGTTTTTAAAAAGAGTAATTCAACTGAACAAGAAGTTATTACCAACGGCATCCGCTTTCTTCTTTCTATGTACGGAGCTCCTAAAAAAACTACCTGTTTAGATAAGCATCGATATGCATGTTTCGTTAAAAATACTAAAAATAAAAAACAAGTTCAATTAGCTTGTCTTCCTCCAACCTCAGTTGCTGCTCACCAACATCTTCTTCGAGTATATTACCAACTTCAAGTGTGGCTTGGTTATCAGCTAGACCCTACAGACTGGGGTTGGAAGTAGGTCAACAATATATTAGAGCCAGTTCAAACTTTACTTCCACCTGCGCCGGAAAAACTGCTGAACACTATTTTTTGCAACTGCAAAAAGGGATGCAGTGCTAAATGTGGTTGCAAAAAAGTCGGACTGTCTTGTTCTTTGGCATGCACAAATTGTCAAGGCCAGTCGTGCTCTAATATTGAATCACAAACAATAGAGGATTCGTTTGACTTCGACGAAGTATCATGCGATACATCGCTATTGACGCAATTTACTTGCATCCAAAATAAAGATGAAGAAGAAGCAGGAGAAGAAGAACAAGAAGAAGATCAAGAAGAAGAACAAGAATTTGAAACTTACGAATAAGACGAATAAACTTCAACACTTTTTTTTAATTTACATCGCTTTTATCTTTCCCAATCTTTGAAAATTTCCGTTATTTTGCAATAGTTTTACATTAAACAGGATCACAACTGACCCGTGGAGTAGGCCTACTGAGGAAACCACGTTAAAAAAAACGCGCTAAGTTCACTACCTCATAGGTGGCGTGGAAACGTGTGCATATTATGACGATAACAACTTTTATAACTTTTTGAATCGTTATATCTCAGAAACGGTGGCTCGTAAGAAAAAAAGTATTGATACATTTTTTATAGATAATTTTATGATCTACAATTTTTGTCTAAGGTACTTTTATGATAAAACTTACCGTTTTGCTGAAAATCGCGAAAAACTCATTTTTTTGAACTTTGACCTTGAATAAAAAAAATTCCTTACAAGGGAATGATGGGGAACTTCTAGACATTGTTTATAATTATGTTTTGAACAATTTCACAGAAATTCAGCTTGTTGGGACTTTATGTAACTTCGAATGTCTAAATTGACCGGACTAATAATATGCTTTTATAATATGTATTTCTGATCTTCCTTGAATAAATTTTTATGTTCTTGTTCCTAGTCTGCACCGTAATATATCTGTCCATTTTACAGCACTGATGAATTTTCAATAACACATAAGTGGTATTAGGTCTTGCTTAAATAATATTGCATTATTATTGTTATGACTACTATCGCAATATTTAAAGTGTTTGAAGGTTAAACAGACAGATAACTAACGGTTATAAAATATTGCCGTTGTTACTGCCTCTTCTCCTATTAGCAGTAGCGTTTAGCGATATTTTATTGTTATGTAATTAACAAAATGTATATTAAAAACTGTCGGGGTTTTATGCATTTGAGATGTAAGAGAAGGACAGTATATCTTATATAAAATCTATATCTATATCTATAAAATCTTATTGAAATAGACATTATTATCAACATAGAGGCCGAATCTATAGTTTTTAGAATTTTTGTCTGTCTGTCTGTGAACCACAAAATGTGTCAAAAACCACTGGATAGTTTTTAATGAAATTTGATATAATGACTGCTGGTTATCCGGGTACGTATAAAATACTTTTTACTGCGGGAAAATATCTCATCTCTGAGCTAAATGTTAAAATCTAACTAGGGACGAATCCGAGCGGAGCTAGGGTAAGGCGCTAGTAATAAATATACATATTACAATTAATTAGTACTGTGTAGGTTATCTAAATGGAACTCAATTTTAGGAAAATATGTATTAATTAATTAATTATCTTAGGTCTGCTGCTGTTTCAAACTAAATAACGTTTGTGAAATAAACACTAACAACTTAGGTATAGAAAACTAACTTCCAACGGAAATAAAACGATATCTCATATTTCTAAATAAATATAACATAATCTGCACAAGGTAATATTACCTACAACTATTAAAACTAAAAGCGTTCAAATATTAATTGTATAAAGTAAAACTTAAACCTTTCTACAATTTCTATGAGTTCTCAGAGGAATAAGTGTGTGGTGACAGTGTCTATCTCTACATCGTATTTTAACCGATTTCTAAAAAATGGAGAACGTTCTCAATTCAGTTGTATTTTTTTATTTTTGTTACCTCATAACTCCGTTATTTATTAACCGATTTGTAGAATTTTTTTTTGTTTGAAATTATATACTTACAGAAGAGTTGCTGAATCGAAGATCTTTACATGTTACTCCTTTCTCTACCTTGTTATATTTTTAATATTTAGAAATAATTTTTTATATATTTATAAAAATACTAGCAGAATCCGCGGCTTCACTCGCGCGAAAACTGCAAAAAATCCCTAATAAGGTAGTTTCAAACAAACTTTCATCCCCTATTTTACCCCCTTATAGGATGAATTTCAAAAAATGCTAAAACATGTATTTATTTAATTTTACTGAAGAGCATTAATACCAAGTTTCAAGTAATTTTGATCATATTTTTTTTGATTGTATTATAACGTGTTTTTCCGTGGGAAATAGATAATCTCCGGCGGTAAAAAGTAGCCTATGTCACTCTCCAGCCCTCAAAATATCTCCACACAAAAAATCACGCCAATCCGTCACTCCGTTTCGACGTGAAAGAAGGACAAACAAACAAACACACTTTCACATTTATAATATTAGTATGGATTATTATTTTTTGAGACATAAAAACTATTGCATGTTGGTGTGTGCCTCCGGGCAAGTTACACTTTATGTTTGTAAAAGGTCATATTAGCACGTACATATATTTATTTATTTTGTAAATTGGAAAACAGACAGCATATACGAGTATAAGCATAAAATGCAAACTACATCAGAAATAATACACTTAGCCAATAAAGTTTCCACTTATACATAAATATATCAGAGTAAACTTACTAACAATAAAATTAAAACAGATATAAATAAAATGTGTAGCTACACATTTAACTAGCTAGTTATGGTTACACCTCGTCCATCCGCTCTAGATTAAGATTTACTTAGAATAAGAGAGACGCAAACTCAGCGTCTGGTCGGCCCACCCGGCATCCGCCGGCCGAGTATGATTTTAGACATTAAAGGAGCCTCAAATCGGCTACATGTCTCACATTTAGTTTTAATTTTTTTTCTTAATTTAATTTTAAGTTAGTATAAATAGTTTTCAAAACGCTCCGAAACCAAAAGTAGCTACAAAATAAAAAGAAATAATATATAAAAACAATATTTATCAGACTCTAGTGTTTTTTTTAAGTTCAATAGTAAATACTTTTGGTTTCGGAGCGTTTTGAAAACTATTTATACTAACTTAAAATTAATTTGAGAAAAAAAATAATACTAAATGTGAGACATGTAGCCGATTTGAGGCTTCTTTAATATCTGAATACATACTCGGCCGGCGGATGCTGGGTGGGCCGACCAGACGCTGAGTTTGCGTCTCTCTTATTCTATGAAAATCTTAATCTAGAGCGGATGGACGAGGTGTAACCATAACTAAATATTGTAAGGTTTTGTAAATTATTTATATTATTAAGTTCTATGTAAGATTGCCAATTTAAAAAAATATCTGTAGTTTAAGTTTAGTAGTCGCATAAGTGATACTAGTTAATTAACTATTTTAGTTTCGAGACTAGTGGGGTTTACAAAGGGAAGCTTCATAAAAGCCAGCTATTTTTGCTATTTATTACCAGGCCATGCGTGTGCTTCGCCCACACTTGCATTTCTTTTTAGTCCTTTATAAATATACGTGACCCTCGTTATATTCGTATAAGAGAGCGCATAAAGCGCTCAGACTCGAGATGTGTCTTTGGAACTACAATATTGATTGAACTAATAATAAAGCATAGTATAGTAGTTTTTAATATTATTAAAAAAAACGAATTTAAATTCATTTCAATAATGTTGGCGGTGTTTCACTCCTATACTTCGGAGAGCACGTAAAGCCTTAATTTTCACCGATCTTGTCAAGTAGTCGTCTCACCGGAGTATGAGAGTGACAGGAATAGAGAGTGCACTTGTGTCTGCGCGTACACTTGTGCACTATAATATCTCCTGCGCAGTTGGCTCGTCTCTATAAGATTGGCCGCCGCGACCGGAATCGGCCTGGAGGACATCATACTAGGCTGCGGCTAACCTAAAGACTGAACTAAAAACTGAAGTTGTCCTGTCAAAATTTCAATCAAATTTATTATCGTGACGGTCTGTTTATTTCTAATTTCTGGGCAACTTTTCCAATTTTTTTCTCAAGTGATAAATAAAACTTTTCCTTTTTATTATAATGACCGATTTTTGTCACGGCGCGGGCAGCCAAATTCACTGACCAATGACAATGAGACTAGCCAACTGCGCAGGTAATATTATAATGCATAAGTATGTGCAAACACAAGTGCACTCTCTATTCTGTAACGCTCAGTTATCTGTTATTATTATTTAGAATCATTTTAAAATAAAATGATTCTCAATAAATTAGTCATTGGACAACCCAACCAAACGAGATATTTTTTTTTTCGTTGGGTTGGATTGTCGAGTGGCTAATTTATTACACAATACACATAACATAAGTAAAAGGTATTCCTAGCACTATTATCTTTTAATCTACAAAGGCCTTCGCCAGATAGTAAACTTCAATAGGTATGGATAATTGTCCGTTCGTAATGTGGGTTAATGAGTGATACTATTTTAGAAAAGTCACCTTTATCTATTTTACTTTTATTCGAATGTTTTAATTAGAAATAAACATTCGAATCGAAAACATTTATTAACATTTAAGATGGCATCCATACTATACATACTTTTAATATTATGAATGTGAAAGTGTTTGTTTGTTTGTTTGTTTGTTTGTTTGTTTGTTTGTTTATTTGTTTGTTTGTCCTTTTTTCACGTCGAAGCAGAGTGACGGATTGCCGTGATTTTTTGTGTGAAGATAGTTGGGAGGGCTGGAGAGTGACATAGGGTACTTTTTACCGCGGGAGATTATTTTATTCCCACGGGAAAACACGTTATAATACAATCCAAATGTTTATGATCAAAATTACATAAAACTTGATATTAATGCTTGATAAAAATACGTGTTTTAGCATTTTTCGAAATTCATCCTATAAGGGGGTAAAATAGTGGACGAATTTTTGTATGAAAACTACATACCTACCTTTTCAGATATTTTTTGTAGTTTTCGCGACACACGACAATTGAAAATAATTCGTGATAAAAAAACAAAGAAATACACAAACAAACAAACACTTTCACATTTATAATATTAATATGGATTACCTACGTTTCATACAAAATATCTACTGTTCATCCTGTAAGCATACCTACTTATGGGTAAAATACATTTTTTTACCATCTAATTTAATGGCCTACATAACATTGTTTCAATTAATTTGTCTGTTTTGTTAGCATTATACATACTCGTATGTGTGTACATATGTACGTGATTAATTAGAAAAAACGGTATTGCAAGTAGAAGCGGACATCGCGAACGGCTAGTGACACATAAAATATAAGGTGTGTTTTAAG